AGAATCGGTTGACGGGACTGATGGAAGAGTCAGTAAGCAACCTGCTGCCCAGCAGCGACAACAAACGCATAAATATATCAGGATCAATCGTATTCACACATATTCACTCACCTCTGTGATTGTCCAGAAACGGCGTTCACATTATTTGGCCCGGTGTCGTCCCGTCGTGTGAATCACATATTGTGTCTTTCGAGTCCTGAATTGCCAGAAACCACAGCATGAAAAACGTCAGATTTTGGGCGATTCCCCCCCCCCCCCCTCAAAGTGTTCAAGCTACAATCGCGTCACACATGTTCCTGCTGCTGCCAGACGTGTCACGTCGCTTATAACAAAGTAGTAGCGGTCACATCCCGATCAGAACGCCGCGCACGCCGCGCTTGACCGCGCGCACGGTTGTTAACGTTGCCACCTCCAAAACACAAAGTTGCGATAGTGTCCGAGTGTCCCCGTGTAGAGCATCACACCCCCCCTAACAAAAAAACACGTACTTCCAAAATATGTAGGATAGTACCCGACGAAGCGCGGTGTGGGCATCGCGTCGCCACAAGGCGCGTAATCTAAAAGCTTTCTGTTTATTTTGTACCAAGCTAGTCGCGTTAGCTAACCTTCCGTCCGATAATGGACAGCCTGCGTCCCGTATCAGCGGCTAACTAGCCGTCTATCAGCAGCCCGTTTGAGGGCGATTTTCGGCAAACGTCCCCCCTGGCACAGCTTTGACTTGCCCCCGCGTGTAGCCCGCGGACCTCGAGCTCTCCAACTACTCCCGTAAACCGTTTAAATGTGACACAACGACGGGCGAGTGATGCACACAAATCTTGCATCGCCGTCACATTCTCGCAGGCACTCGTGTTACTAACTAACATCCCAGCCACGGCGGCTAACGATGCACTAGCATGTCAACTGAGGCAGAAAAGCCTTCCGACTTGGGTTCAAAGCCAAACGCGCTATTAAGTCGACATAAATACACACGTACAAACCGTAGCGAATTAAAATCCGGTGGTTGTGAAAATAACAGATGCAGCGCCGTGTAGCTTATTAAAAAAACACTGACTGTCAACAAAATGGCGGCTGCGTTGAATCAACAGAGACCCGAAATGGATATCCTTCTATTTCTTCTTCCTTGGTGTTAAAATCCCTTTTCCTTACAGCAATAAGTATCCGTGATATCTCCCGATGTGCTCCAAAATCCACTCCGACGCGCCGTTAGCTGGGCCTGGATGTGTCAGCACGGGGCTCTCTGGTTAACGGGGCCTCCATGTCTACTCAGCCCGTATCGCTACTGTGTCAGTACAACACGGGCATTCTCAGCCCCGGAGAGGAGGGAGGGAGGGAGGGAGGAGGACTGACCGAGGAGGGCGGAGGGGAGGGGAGAGGAGAGGAGAGCAAATGTCGGTCGGTCGGTCGGTCGGTTCTTGCGGTCCCCGGTCATTGGCACCCGGAAAAGGCGTGTTAGGAGGTCGTTGTTGGTCTGTGTGTCCCGGCGCTCGCGGAGCTGTGTGCCGCCCGGTCCTCGGTGTGTTCGCCGGTATGCGACGGTCATCTGTCAACCGGTCGGTGGCCGGTGCCAGCTGTCACACAGGGTGTCAACGCACCGCTCACACACACATGGAGGACTCTGCATGAGGAGGGGAGGTGGGCTTTTTCCCTGTCGATCGATTAGTCCACTAATCGATATCAGGTATTGACGTTTAAAGTGATTTCTGGCTTTAGCTGCTCAAATGTTATGTGTTGCGCGCGGTTCTTTTGCAGTCGTTGTGAAATATTTGTGGGGTTTTCGGATCTGGGAAACTTTAGCTGGATTTGCCAGCTTATCAAATGCGATGTACAGCTATGAACCACTGTTCTTTTTTCCAGTTTATACATTTTATGATAATATATTTATAAACGAATCTGTAATTTAAAAGGTATATAGCAATGATTTTTCTGTCTTTGTTGTTGCATTTAGTTGTTTTTTTTAGTTATAAACTATCTGATATAAATATTGTGTCTGGCAAAGCTTCAAAAAATGGGTGACAAAATAAATGTCGTAAGTGTCAAGTTCAACAAGAGACACGGTGCGAGGAACCTGGAGCCACTTGGGAGGATGTGTGGATCACAGATGCACGAGTCCAGGGAACAGTGTTATCTACACGCAACACTACTCGCTCGTATGTTGTCCGGGTGCCTCAGGGCACACTGAGGAGGAACCGGCATCACTTGGTGCCACTGCAGACTAACAGTGGGGTGGTCGATGTTGATGACCCACCGATGGGAGGGAATGCACTGGTGACAACATCAGAGCCAGGTCAACCAGCGACAACATCACTCACCACAGAGACTGTGCGGACCAGGAGTGGGAGAGAGGTTAGAAAGCCACAGAGACTTGATTTGTGACTGGCTGATGAAAAATGAATAAAGCCTACTGATGCATGTCATGTGTTTTATTTAAAAGGAGTCAATGGGAAAGGTGTGTCAGGAGATCTTGAAGTTTCTCAGGTCGCCTGCCTCCCCTGTTGCTCCGTCCTCGTGGAGCGATCTTCTGACGTGAGCGAGAGGCTCATGTCTGCATTGGTGAGGCTTTTTCGGCACATTGGGCAGGTATCATGCTGTGGGAGGTAGAAAAAAGTATTCACGCGCAGGCAAAACATCAGTGTAACAACAGCATAGACTAATTGCAGTGGGACATTGTATGCCAGAATTGGTATACAGTACGAACTCACAATGACCTTTGACCACCAAAATTGAATCATTCAGGAGTCCCGGTGGACATTCGTGCTGACTTTTCTTGAGATGTTGCATTCACAAGCATTGACCAGATGGCCTCCAGCCAAAGCTCTCAGGGGCGTTAAAACAAAACACTCTTCTGTGTTGTTGTCACAACCCTCAATTCAGCACGCGTGACAAATCATGACAAATCCCACATGCCCTGACGTCCCGACCACATCCGCCCCTCGCCCTTACCAGCTCCACTACTACGCATTTATTGTGGAAGTAATGTAGGCACGGTGGCTTCCTGACTGCTTCACCTGCTGAATACTCCTCCCTGCAAACCGGACTCTCCAGTCTGCTGTCTGAGGGAGTCAAAGGAGAAAAACACAAAGCATGTGAGCAAGAGAAACAAATGCAATGAAAACCCATTATAGAATTTCAATATAGAACACAGTCTGCTTTTGTAACGTAGAAACATTTATTAATCAGTAATACTTAGTAAGGTATTATAGGTATTAAAGCAGGAGGCAATGGAAGTAGTGAAGAGGTAAGAAAGGAGGAGTAAAGGAAGGATGAGAGGAGAATAAATGTAAGAGGAAGTAGAAAAAGGAAAGGAAACACAGGAGCAAGGAAGCATTGCTAGGAATGAAGGATTGAAAGGAAAAGAAAGGGAGGAAAGTAAAGATAAGATAAGAAGAGATGGAATGGAAAAGGTAAGATCAAGGAAGAATGGGGGGGGAATTTGCGATGAGGAAAATAGGAAGAATGAGAAAGGAGAAAGAAGCAGAAGGAGAAGCAGATGCAGGACAATGTTGGACCTGAGTGCTCCAACAGTCCAAACGACTAAGTGAGTGAGAGAAGGAAGTAAAGATTCAGAGGAGACATGAGGGGCAGAGAGGGCAAATGACGGCCACAGAGTTGTAATGGAATGGATAAAATAAAGAAACGTTTTTTACTTGATGGAAACAGACTATGGGAGTTTTGTGTTTCAAGGAGGAGGAAGAGGAGGAGGGGGTGTTATAACAAAGTGTTTATATATATTAGAAAAAAGAAGTTCAAACTTGTTGACACTTATAAACCTGTAGGTTTGAATATCTGTTAAAAAAAGACATGCGTTGTGTGTGTCTAAGCACATGTTGGTGGTTCTACACATCTATGCCTTGTATTTTTCCATGGTCAGAGATGAGCACACTGGAGATGTCTCCGTGCACCGTGTCCACACACCGCTCCGCTGCAAGCCTTTGTTCATGCCTGGACGACCTCCCTTCTTCGGCCGGGGATGAAGACTCTGATTCCCCGGCCTCGGCGGCGCCCGGTGACACCGGGGAAGTGTCAAAGATTTCAAAAGTCAACAAGCGGGACCACAGATAAATCAGAAGAATAGACTATAATATAATAAAATGTCATATAACAGAGTGTAAAAGAATAGAATAGAATGCGATCTAGATTTGATATGGTATACAACCTATATCAATAATAATGTATCTATAAATTTATACCATTAAATATGTAAAATAGGTTTAAAAAAAACAGCAAGCCTTGCGCGATACAAATATGCTTACCATCCCATGTGTGTTTCTCACCTGACTGCATTGCTATGATAACATCCTGCTACCTAACCACAGCCTCTACCGCGGATGAGCGAGAGCATTTGGTGTTCAAAACCTGGTTTTACGGTCGAGGTGGTTCACTTCCTGGGTAGGTTGCTGTGGTAACCAAAGCTGCACACAAAATATAACATAGCGGGTCGGATGCAAACAAAAAATGTACTTTCCCACAAAACACTATGACCTCCAACAATGAATGCACCTGCACCATTTCCTTTTATAAATCCCAAAACAACTTGGGACATGTGCACATCACATTCAGCCATTGCACCTAAAAGTATGCAACCAGATACTGGCAGATGAATACAGTATTTGTTCTATTCTAAAAGAATACATTTCACATTAACATTTTAGACATACGTGTTATCTGAATCGGGCAGTGACAGTATTGATAAGAAGTAATAAGTGACAGTCTGCGATCATTCACAAGCTGTCTTTCCTTAAATTATGTGCAAATGTGTTGCTTTGTACTTCTATGTTTTTATGTTCAAAAGATACTGCGCTGCTGACTACACACTTTCTTTTGGTTTTGGTCATATGCTGCAAACACTGGCCCTTCATGTGAACATGCAGGTTGAGAAACGCCGGGTGAACTTTCCCAGTAAGTAACCGTTTAGCAGGATCGCAGCTGTTTGATTCAATTAAACATGTATGCAACCCCAAAATGTGGAATCCTGTGACTTAATGACATATTGCAATAATAACTGTGTAAGCATGACAATATATTTTTTATTAAAACCGAGAGACAGTCACATGAAATAATCATAAGAACCACAAGCAGCAACAACAGAACAGTGACAGATATATTTGAACAGAAACATAATCTTTACAGTATGAGATGTTTTGGCAGAGAAGTAAAGAGGCATTCTCATTTGAAATGACAATAACAAAACGTGTTAGTTTGCAATAGAGCAGAACATTATGGTCAAGCCCCGCAGGTACAACATTTAGAGTGGCAACATTTCAGTGTTCAACTCAAACACCGGCTTGTTGTAAACACATCCAAGAGGGAATGGGAACTATGCAGACTAGAACTGTCCTACTTGGCACACGGCTCTTCTCGTCACAAAAGTTGCACTTTCCCTGCATTCACTGGTACCAGGAAGGAGACGGCTACATTTCATAAAGCTTCAGCATCTCACTGTTCACATTTCACACCACTGTTTCCTGAAATCAACTCTTGTGATTTGTTGACTCCCGGTTTGGCAATGCAGCTAACTTGTCCTGTACATCTTTAGAAATGACAAAACCCCACCTGTGTCTCATGCACATGCCCTGATGCTCAGCTGCTCAGGGGTTACTATACAGACAAATGACCACCTCCCACCACAAAATCTAATTCTAATAACTTGTGGCGCAATAAATAGCAAACAGATCTCCTAACAAGCGGAATGGGATCTCCTTTGTTTCTTACCCTCCCAGCCCCCCTCTGGTCCCTCCCTATCGCGGTGTGGTGAAGGCCCCCTGGGCGGCGCTGGTGGCGGCGCTGGTGGCGGCCTGCCGCACGGCCTGATTGGACATGACCCCAGTGGCGAACTCGGCCTGGGCCTTCTGGAAGCTGGCATCGGTCTGCCGGTACATGCTGTGGACCTAGAGAGGGGAAGAGCAGAGCGCGCTGACACCCGAGACACGCGGCAATTCATCCCCATACGATGCGCGCTGTGCGTGGGGAATATGACACGCAGAACCCGATACCGGGCGTCTGTTATCCAGTGACTGCTTCATAGTAGGGGGACCACTTGAGCACAGAGCAGGTGGAAAATGCAAATACAGCATGACAATTTCACTTTCTTCCCCATGACTTCTTTCAAGAAATGTGACCCGGTAGATCACGTCACTAACAGTCAATAGCCAACCATTCGTTACATTAATATATAAGTTCACTTAGATCTACGTCTCCTTGCACTTATTAATTGAATTTAAATGGTTTAGCAATTATATTTGTTTGTCTGCATTTTGTGCGTGATTGCGTCATAATCTGATATACAGGTATTCAGGTGGTTGGTTTCAAGATAATTCTGTTTAATAGTCAGTTGAAATAACTCTTCATACCGTAATCTGAATCATTACCCCAAAACTGTCACCCTGCAGGTGAACAAATGTGTTTAGTTTTCACCTTCTTCAGCATGAAAACCCCGATGGCAGCTTGGGCAGTAAAGAGGAGGGCGTTCATCATCATGATCGCACCAACGGCGACACTGTAGTTCAGAGCAGCCAGGCTCACGATCCAGCCGCTGAGGGGAAGAGACACGTGAGACAGATCAGAGGCAAAGAGGTTTTGACAGAGATGTTTTTGTGAATTAGTCCTACCTGAAACCCCATCCAGGGATACCAATGGTCATGATGACTGAGACCACCACTTGGGCAAAGAAAACAAAGAAGAAGACAAAGAAATTGAAGGAGCTGTCACTCCTGCGGGGGGGAAAAGAGAAAAATTGTTAGTGCGCGTTTTGAAGCCACGGCTCAAGCACATTTCTGCTTTAAGCAGCTGGTCAGCTTAGTAAAGTTCACACGGGTAGACACGTCAATGGTCGATGGGCTTTTTCATGCTGCAACACACCTGAAGGCTTTGTACATGGGACGATACCAGCAGACAAAGGAGCAGGGGGTGAAGAGGAGGGCCCACAGGATGGCCAGTCCCAGGCCAACGCCACCCGAGGAGTTCACGCAGAAATTGGCCAGTGAGGAGATCAGGTTGAAGAGCAGCCCACAAGTGCACACTGGACATTGACGATATCGGGTGAAAAGGAGACAAAAGGATGAATGGCAGCGGTCGCACAACAATGAACGGCGGTGCAATCCGAGTGTCGGGATCAACTCTTTGTTGCTTTATTACAGAGCACTGGACTAGAACAAAGCCAACGCACCCCTCCCCACTCTAAAGAAGGAGCCGACGCGTCAGGACTTTGGCTGATGCAATACGCCGTTATTTATTACCTTACTTCGCCTGCTGCTAGGTTTTGAGTTGACTCTTTTGGTAGTTCCTCAGTGTGTATTCATTTCTCGTACTATATGCAGTTATTTTCCGTTTCACTTTCTTGCCCTCCGTCATTTTCAAAATCAGTATCACGGTTTATTTCATCCCATAACCCAGTGTGAGTTAACTCCCCCAGGCGTGCATGCCTGAAACTCTAGGTTATTCAATTCAAACTATTTGATTTAGTACTTGGGTGCAGTAAATGCCCCTGGGCAAGTCCCCTCTACTATCTTCACCTTTTGGTAGACCCCGACTTCAGTTGGTTCCTAAATCCGCAGTGAGGTGCCAGAGTCTTTGTGCAAACATCCCAGCTCATGCTCGAGAGTGCAGCAGGTATCACACAGACACGAGTCGGGAGCGCAGGAGTTAGTGGCATCTGGTGGTCACGTTGCAGACTGCAGCTAACTGAATAACCCTTAGCTCTCCCCTCCTAAAACCAAGTGGTAGAAGAACTACAGTGGCCTTCAAGTAGCATAAAAAAAGCCAAAGGCGCTGCTGTAGAAACACAACAGTGCAACATGGCGGCCTGCACGAACAGCACCTGCTCCCTAGGTAGCGATTTAAAAACTGCTCATTCCAAGCTTTTATAAACATAGTTATGAATATATTGCATTTCAGCCAATAAATCCTGTTAAATCCAACACACAGTTCCTTTAAGGAATGCGCTCAGTCACATTATCACTCATACAACAGCATACTGATGTTGACAGAACAATAATGGGAATCCCCACATTAGTGCACGGTGAGAGTTACAGTAACTCACACATCCAGAAGTAGTACATGATGGTGACGGTGCGCTGAAAGTGCTGAGCGATCTCCACATTGATGTCCTGGTAGAAGCAGGGGGCCACAGGGCAGAACGAAGGCAACGGGGGCCAGTTGTTCTGACGAGCTGATAGAGAGAAGAGTGAAAAAAACATCACATTAGGAAATCATTGAATCCAGAAAACACTCAGGTATGTTTCGTAATTATTTGCCCTCCCATCCTGCCGGGTCTTACAGGCTCCAGTTCCCAGGGTGTGTGACTCGAGCTCCCTCTCTCTTCTCTCCAGCTCCCGGGCTTTCTTCTCCAGCTCCTCCTGCTTCCTCAGGAGCTCTGTCGTGGTTGCATTCACCGCAGTCTGACACGGAGAAACACAGAGTGAAATTAAAGCGGGGGATGCCGGTGACCGTTTTGAAGAGCGGATGGAACTGGACACATGTGAATTGTGTGCAATTAAAATCAATTTGATGGGGCCTTTGCTGTTCTGAAGTTGTCGGTGCTCGGGACCTAATGATGCATCAGAAATGCAAGTCAAGTTTAAAGGAAAGATTGTTGTGTTCATGCATGATAAATGCATCAAAGGATTCTATAAATTGCCTGTTACAAGAGCTGCACTGAAGTAATACATTCAAGGTGCATTTGTAAAGTTATATATCTGTACGGGGATCTAGTGTCCATTTCTAATTTTTAAAACCCAAAACTTGTACCTGGGAGGTATAGGAGCCATAGTTGCGAGGCTCAGTGGGGGTCGTCCTACTTGGTGGGGTCTGTGCAGGCGCAGATGGAGCAGAGGGAGAGGTGGCTTCATACGGAGGCTGGTTAAAAAACAACAACAAAAAAAATCCTACATCATCAGTTTTACATTATCTTGTAAGAAAAAAGGAAAGTAATATACCAATTTCCACAATGAAACTAACTTATTTTTAAAATTTGAATTGGTTGAATATTGATACATAGAATTTTAAAATGTATACTCCATATTATATCAAAAAGCTCATTTTTATTTTAATATAAGTAATAACAGATTAATGTCATCAGTCATTATGTGCACGTGGCTTGTGGTCACATGGTCGGTCGGAAATTAAAAAGATCTCCAACCTGAACTAGACTACTTTCGTTTCAGCGTCCCAGTCTTGTTCCTGTTAATGCAGTATTTGCCAATAACAGCAGCTGACAGGAAGTATAAAAGGACCAATGCCAGCAACACACTCCATAACTTGGACACAAAGCCATTTCCTAGAAACAAAAACATTAAACTCTTTAACGTGCAACTAAGGTGTGAGGTTTAAGTCACAAGGCAATGTGTATATTTTGGTCTGGTTCAGTTTAAGACGTAAAGACAATTATAATGAAGTCCATTTGCGTAGAATCCAGCGCTCATCAAGCAGGATAACTAAATAATTCACTGCAGACTCACTGTGTAAATACACAATTTATGACAATTGGAAATCTTTCACTACTAAAGCACAATTTGCCCTGACGTATTAAGGCGGGTGGCAGGTTTCAATGCTCCAGAAATCTGGACACCATTAAGTGCAGTTTAATCATTGAATCAAATCAAATGAATGAAGGAAGTGAAACTAAACTAAATTCCGTCCGCAAGTTTTCCAACCTTATCAGGAAAACATTTTAAAAGACATAGTTTGACTTTCAACTTAGTCAGGTACTTTTCAAAGCCTTCTTTTTGTAGACAGTTGGCGTCAATCAGACATTTACAGATTTGTCTTTGACAATATTCAAAAAAGCCTTCTAAGAAAATGTTATTATATTTTTGAAATGTTCTAATTCACTTAAGTGTGTAGTTTATTATTGGTCTTCACAACAGGGACAATTCCCCTTAGATCGCAGCCATATCTGGGAGAAGGCCCGGAAACATCACAGACATCTGACAAGTAGATAAGCTACTCCACATTCAATCTGATCTTATTTCCATCCGTTTGTGCTTGATGTTGGAATCCAACCCATTCTATCCAGGAGCATCTCTACATTTCCCCCGACCCCTCTGGAGCGTGACTCACCGCAGTGGTATTATCAAAGGGGTTGTACAGGTCCAGGGTGGCATATCCTGTGTTGCTGCTGTGTTGAGTCACTGCAGGGTCCTGGCACACAAAACAAAAGGACAACGCACGGCTGTTAAAATGACCACAGTAATCATGTTCAAATGCGCATCTGCTTCACCGACCCGGGCTGCTTCTTTCGACGTGTCCATTATTAAGAGGAGCCACAAGTGGGCAGAGATTAAAGAAGAAGAAGAAAAAGGGCCCCACGCATCACGTGAGCAACAACACGCCCGCTATTACATCGATGACTTGCATCCATCCGACACGCCGACATTCACATTCCACCTCACCCACCTGGAACGGGTTCGGGTCTTCCGTCGGCTCGGGGAAGCTCGTGTATTTGGACATGTCGGCGGTCGTTTGGGGGGGAGGGGGGCTGCTGTCGCTACGGCGAGTCACGAGAGGAGCAGCAGCCAGCGTCCGTCCCGGCAGATGAACAGCAGCGGCTTTTTAAATTATTATAATTTTTTTTGCCCAACGTTAACTCGAAAGGGCGGGCGGTGTGGTCTGTTTATCCGGCCGACTGTCTCCCCGCCCCTCCGGTGGTCATCTCCGCTCAGTTTGACGTTGTACGGCAGGTGAACACGACGCGTTGACGGGTGTCCCCCACGGCCCCGACGGTCTGGACGTCAGGCGCACCGAGTCGCCGGAGAAGACACCGCGGAACCGTTGTTTTCTCCCGCAGAGGAAGACGGCCAAGGAACCGGAAGTAGCCAGGAGAAACCCGAGTCACGTGACAGCTGCTGCGGCAGAGATGAACACGCGGGAACACGAGGGGGCGCGGCCTTGCCCCGAAGAAAGAAGGTCAACAAAAATGTGTGATAATAGATCCATTCAATACTAGTATGCCCGAGTTTAAAGAATACAAACGGTAGACAATTATCTTTACAATGTAAGTTCCCCTAAAGGAGACATTTATAGGTTCATACAAAGTACCTAAAATGGATTATCATAATAGTTGTACATATTTTATATGCCTTTATAAATCTGAGCCTTTAGCCTCTACTTGTTACTTTGTTTGTCAATCAACAAAATGAACATTACGTGATAATATCTCTGCAGTGAAGTCCTACATTTATCTACAATCTACATTTGGAGATAATAATCGTTGTGAAGGTGTAAAAGAAGCAGACATTAGAGTTGTGGTGTTGGTGAATGTTAATTGCTGTCTTAGCTTATTTGTATGTAAGGTACAGGCCCAAACGTACTGTACATACTGTCAACTCTCTAAATCCTAAAGTCCAACCAGTTATAACCAAAGCCATTAATAAATGGCTCTGGATTTAACTGCAATATCTGTGCAGCAATAATAATATTAATAAGTCATTTATCATGTAGCTATTTTAAGTTGGGCTCGATGTATAAAAAAGTTTAAAATAAACGCTTGTCACTGCAGGGTGAAGAAATTTGACCCGGTGTTTTACTGTTTTAAAAGGATGCTCCCCTGCTCTTCCAGGAGATGTCACTCTTGTGTCTCAACAGAATAACATCCCATGATGCTATGGGTTCAGAATCCCAGATGCAAGTTAAGATTTAAACTTTAGGTGTAGCAAAAGAGACATTTACTAAGTTTTTGGGATGTTTTAATTTCATTATTATTATTTATTTTTAACATCAGATGCTTTTATTTATCTTTATCGTAACTAATTTGTTTTTGCTTCGACTAATGCTAAGTTTCCTCATATCTGCCCCTTGCAGTCAAACGTTGAGCATTGGTATCAATGCATGGACTTTTAGTTTACTCACACACTATTGTTTCATTTTTTCTCCGCGGTTAGAAATGGACGTGGCATGCATTTCTTACTTCAAAGTTATTCATGAAACGTTTTTTAGCTTATCTGGGTGAGCATGTGTCTGTGTTTGTCTCTTCTGACTGAACCTCCATGCATCGTTTGTCAGCTGACTACCGCAACTCATCATTTCCTCTTAATTGCCGTGTCACCATTGGTCCAGATTGCTCCGATTCAGTGGCTTGAATCGGGAGCCTCCCTGTCCTAAAACCACAGCATTCCAGCAACGCATGGCTCCATGACATCACTGGCTGAAGAATGAGAGTTGTGTGTGGAAAGTCACCCGGCTAATAGGAGGGACTGAGGGGTTTGAACTGAAGCTGTTTCAACATCAGTATAAGGCCTCATTTAGACAGAATCAGCCGTCTTGTTTATTTGGTGTGTGTGTGTGTGTGTGTGTGTGTACACCACAATGTTCTTTTAGCGCACATAGCAGGAACATTTCCATTCCTTCAAGAGTGCAGTTCCCGCACTGCGGTCTTGTTGAGTGCTTACACAATAACATGGTTTTTCATTGGGGTGCATTGAAAACCCTCTTTTCTGCCTCGGATAAGTAAAAGCACGTAACATAATGAGGGGAGCTGCGTACGCCGAGCATACTTTCTATCACGCAGATTCAAACTGTATGCAGAGCAGCGGCTGGAAAGTAAGCAGCCTGCGTTTACTCAAATACAGTTTTGAGATGGATGTTATTTACTCTTCTGTTTCTATTCTTTAGTGCATTGCATTCATTTGAGAGCTGCCTTACAAGGTACTTCACATATTAAGATTTGGAGGTTAACAACATATGGGTATTGTATAAAATACAAAACCTTGTTTACTAGGATCCAAGGTTTTTCTTTTAACCTGTGAGCCATCAACAACAATTAGGTCTCATAGTTTCACCAAAGAGACAATTCTTATCTAACTTCTCACATGGTTTAATTCAAACAACCGTTCAAACTGTGCAATATAAAAAAAATAGAATTTGAGAGAGAGACTTTTTTTCCTTCTTTCCTGCTCCATTAATCATCTCACAACACTTCTCACGTACTTGTGATCCCTTTGGGGGCTCCTACCCCTAAAGTATGTGAATCATTTTGAACCATGCACACCACAACCTGATACAATGAGGCACCATGCAACAGTGTCAACAATTACGTACACAACGCTTTTAGTTTTAAGTTCCTCAGAGACACACAGAGGTTATTGAGAACATTCATCCCGAGGGGAGGGGGGGGGGGTGTTCCTCCCACTGCTGGCTCAGCAGCACTGAGTAAAAACTGGGAAGCACTTCAGAGGGGCGCTTTTCTTCACGGTTTGAAAACCTGGAAAAAGCATCACTGCCGGCTGGTGAACCGGAGCGGTTCTGTCCTCAGGAAGTGTCCGCGAGACACTGAGTGTCCATTTGTCACAGCTTGGTGAAGTCCACCTCAGATTGAACCAGCCGTTGAGTTTTGCTTGAGTAAAAGAAAGATTTCAGGGACTTAAATCTATTTTTTCTGCTATGTGTTTTCAGGCATATTCTGTGTGCATCCATTAGGTTGAAAAATGGGTTTATAGAGGGAGCAGCTGGAAATCCCCAGCCAGAGAAGGAGAAGCAATTTAACACTGTACCTGGGTGCAAAGCCAACGCAAAAAGGAGGTGGGGGATTTTCTTTTTTTTATTGCGCTCACTCTGTAAGTAGGTGCAGCTGGAGAAAGGGAACACACAAAGTATAACCTGCTCTGATGCTATGAAATAACTTTCTCATGAGCACTTTTATTTTCCTTTCCACTCCCTGTTTCCCTCTTTGTCTTCGTCAAATGTCCCCCAAGTTCATAAAATGAGCAGAGTCTTTGGTCACTTTTTAAGGTGACTGAACACATGCAGCAGTGAGCTTGATGACAATGTTGATTGCAAGTGGGAAAATAGAGGGGTGAATAAGGATGTGCAATAATCAGGAGAATAAGATTGGCAGACAGTGATGTGATATATAGATTGAGGACGAGGGAGTGGGACGTCCTGTGAGGAGGCAACATAAAGAGTGAGTGTTTAAGAAGGAATAATCAAACAGTGAATTCATATAAAACAATTTATTAACAAGCCGAAAAAGGGGAGTTTTTTGATCAAGAACATGTGACATTTTTAATACAATACATAAAGGAGCAGGTTCAAGAATCTTTGGTGTTCTAAAAGCAATAAATGTGCCAACACACATTCATGTAAACTGAAGCCTCCTTCTACACAGTGCATTGTTTGAGATCCGACTGGCTGGAAGGAGGACGAGGGAGTAAGCAAGGCGAGTAAATGTAAACCATGCGTGAGGCACAAAACACGAGTATTGTATGACCGTCTTGGAAATGTTTCCTCATTCCCTCTCATACACTCTGGTGCACACAACATCCCCTGCAGTCATCGTCTGAAAGAAAACGGCAACAGAGGACAGAGTATTGATGTTTTGCTAGCGCTTCCTAGTGTTGCACACTATAAAAGGGTCACGTATTGGTGCTGTACACAAATAAATTACCAGAATCAGTTCTCCATCGTTGGTCAGCTCTCGGGTCCAGGCTGTTTTGGGCCCCTCGCCCTTGGGAACAGTCTGTTCACAGCTGATCTTGCTGTCCGTTTCCCACTGAGGAAAACTCTGCAGGGATTGATAAGGAGAAAGGTGCGCATTGGTTAGGTGCGTTGGATCCTATGTGTAATCACAGCAAAGTTTGGATTTCTTCACAGCTGGAGCTCGCTGCATGTCAAAGCATTTCTTATGTCCCTCACCACTCGCTCAGCATGAGGAGATGGAGATCAGATCTGGGAATCATCACCAGCACGGACTCTGGCGTTGGGATGAAATTATTTCCATGTGTGCGCATAACTCTGCCTAATTACTCTTCCCGTGGCCCAGATCTGGTATGCATGCCTTGACATTAGTATGGAATGTTGTGTGTGTGTATATATATGGGATGTGTACCGTGCAGGGACGTCCATCCACCGTGGTCTCGTTGAAGGACTGACCCACGGTGAAGGAGACATGGGTGGTACGGACGCTGGTGGACGTCTTGATGGACAGACTCTCGTCCTGCTGGGTGATTTCCACGGCCGGGCTGGAGGCCGCTCTCACTGCAATCTTCCTCAGGAACACATTCACACCTGCTCTCAGACAAACACGATTAAGGTTAAAGAACTCAAGTTAAGCCGGAGCGTGTTACATGGTCTTACTTTCCATGCAGCTGGTTTGAGTTCATTCAGTGCATCGTAAAAATCCATCTCCAATGTTACAACATTGCTGTGCGGTAATGCAGCTGCAAGCAGGAAATGGATATTTTTTCCTTGCTTGGCCTCCAGTGGAAACATAGCATGTGATATTTGAGTTGACACGAGGAACAACTAGTTGCATGTAATACTTAATAATAATACTGCTCATTATTTGTCTTTTGCAGAATGATCTTAATAAACAAAGATTAAAAAGATGCTTTTGGCAGTCGGAAAGTTTCCGTGCTGCTGCATCGCTACACAATGAAAACGCCACCTTCAAATAAAGCCGTCAGCTATTTATTGTGATTAATTTCTCAGTTACAAGTCTCATCACACTGATGTGCCTACTTGTTGTTCTTCTCTACAGGATGAACTTAAACTTTAATCAAATAAATTAATATAAGAACTCATGTTATGCATAAAAAAAGCAGTTGTACTTAATGTGTTGCAAGAAACCACTCATGCGCTCTTCCACACGACTAATTACTGTGACATGGTAAAGTCATAGCTCGTCCTGAAAATCTGAATTAATCCGTTATCCACCGGACTTGAAACCCAGCTGATTGTAGCCTACTTGATAGACTCCAGCCGCATATCAAGTTGCAGTCATTTCCACGTAATTTCCCGTCTCCTGGTGCATCCGTACATTGGTGCTGATGTAATGTTTACACAGCTATAGATTGGGTCGGGGAGGCCCACGGCAGTGAGGGAAAGTCACTCTCAGATCCGGCTGGCCGCGGGGGCCCATGTCAAGGCTTAGTTCCGTTTACATTGGCTCTAATTACAACCGCATGAGGAGGACCCTGCTTCAGATGAGTCTAATCTAACATTCCTCCACGGGCTATTTGTCTTTAGATTTTTAATGGAGGCCACTGGCTGCTCCTCACTTGACCTGCCTCTCTCCCGCTGTCTAACTGAAGACCATCCCTTTTCATATGTCTAACAAAGACCAATACTCCAGTGGCTGCGGGTTAGCAGGGCAGGAGCAAAGCGACGCAACCACAGAGAGCCACTTCAGACCGCTTTGGTTCTCCCGTTGACCTCCGAGCCAAGTGGATTTCCAGTAGATAATGCCGGCGTCAGACTGATTGACAGGTCTTTGTGCAGGAGATGTTTCTCTTTCCTTTTCAAATCCCTTTTTGCATTTCCACAATGGAGCCGAGCGGTTGATGATAAACCAGATAACAAATGCGCAGCTGGACTCCAACATGGCTTCAAAGTTTGACTTTTTTCATGCAAAGTATTTTGATAAAAGTGGTGGAGAGAGACATGATGTAATGTTGGAGTTGGATTTGTCTCAATAAATAAACAACTTCATTGGGCATTTCTAAGCAAATCAAAGAAACAATATGTGTATATATGAATGACTCACCGAGCGCTTTCAAGAGGTCCTCGAAGCGTTCCGAGGACTTCATTTTCCATTTGCCTGAGAAATCTGTGGTCTTTTTCTCCATGATTTCCTTTCGCAGATTAGAAGTGGATTCTGACTGCAGACTCGCGTTCGCTGTCTCTTTGCCCCCCTTCTCCGTTAACCGGTTGCCTGCATCTGCCCCTGCATTGATTGGCCGACGGCTCGCCTGAATGTGATGCTGGTCCGGCCCATACGGAGGGCGGGGAGGGACTGTCCCCTTCTGACTCCGACTGCAGCCTCCACCTCTGTCAGCATGGTGGAATATTTGGATAGTGGCTGGAAAATGCACTTCTATTAAGCCCTTTGATCCAGCTCGAAGATTGAGGTTTTTTTTTTCTCAAGTTGGTGTCGAGGAGGTCAGAAAATGAGTGGGAGCCTGAACCAGTGAGGAATTAAACGAAACAATGCAGAAACCCTTTTTATTAAGGAACAAATATACTTCAGACGAGACATGTATTAAGTTTTCCAAAATCTGGAATGTGAAATTAGATATGAGGATAATTGGGTAATTGTATCTCCAGGGTGTGGTGGGTGGAGGGGGGGGGGGGGGGTAAAAAGATAAGACTCACAGCGGGGGGGCAGGCCATCAGCGGGTTACGTGTCTTAAGGGCTGTTAAACAGTGTCAGTGAAGGCAATAAAATATGCATCCTGCTAATGGCTCCAATCATTTCATTCCGACATACCTGAGCCATTTATATTGAAGTGGTTTTGTTTATATCATAATACGTAGCACTAATAACACAATTGCAACTATATTTCTGTAAAAAGAAATGCTGTAGTGAGTCTCTAATGATTAGTGTGTATGTAATTGCGCATTAAGTACAACTGCTGTCAACTGTCCATTTCTCTCAAAATTAACTTTACTTTGAACTGATATGTGTATTTCCTGACAAAGCGGTGTCAAAGGAGAGTGTAAATTATTATCAATATGAGTAAAATGCCATACAAATTAATTAAACAAAACAAGGAAATAGATTTGAGTGAAATTAGTCTTTTAAAGAAATATCCATTTTTTGTTTTTTTATCTAGTTGAAGGAACAGACCACTCTAGCAATAAAAAGGAAGAGGTGTCGGCTTTGTGGTGAATAACAATGCTTCATCTTTCTTTCAACTTCATTTTGGCTCCTCAGAAACCTATGGATGAAATCCCGGAGACTTTGCCCTTGTTTTATTGTTTACAGTTTTCACTTGCATGCAAAGTGCTTGAATTCAAAGAAGAAGACTGCTCCTTTTGGTAATTACTCCAGATGTTAAGAACGGTGAGGGAGGACTTATAAGGTAACCAATGTAGTGCAAGGTGTGCAGCCGTGCACAGCACAGGGAAGCACTGTCTGAGATAAAAAGCAAAAAGGTTAAAGATCTTCTGGAAGTAAAAATATTTGATAAAAGAACACCGGACCGAAGACATAAAAAAAACAGCTAGAATCGTTTTGTATTTTTGCCAAATCAGTATCAGCATTCTCTCATGCCATGAGGAAACAAAGTATTAGAGTGGCAACATGCTATTATGAGTTTTTTTTATTATTAGTCTAATTGTTAGTCTAATCTTAAATATTTCCTCTCAAGTTCTGTCTGGGAGATTTATTTCATATTTTAAACTCTCAGTAAATCTAATTCCACTTGAACTCATTGGTGGAATTCAACATATTGGCAGACCCTTAAGGTGAGAGATTCTCCTTTGTTTGTTTGTTTGTTTGTTTGTCTCCTTCTCCCTCACATGCGCTCAAAGGCTGCCGAGATTATTTCACCAGGTCTGGATCAGAAGGGATGCCTCAGGAAACATGATGTGTTGCATTCACCCAACAAAAGGATTCATGATGTTATCAGCGCAGGTTGTCTCATGCATTCCCCCCTGTGGTACAGAGAAGCCGCATAGAGTTACAGCCAGCGGATTAACCTCATCGGGTATTTTACACAGAGAAAGCAGCTACAGTATAATAGCATTTGCATTTGAATGCAAATTAGACATACAGGCCAACATTCACCTCTGGCTGACCTCAGACTGAGAACACAGAGGACCACAGCAGCTCAGAAGAGAGAAGAAGAAGAGGAGAAAGGCTGTGATGAAAGGATAACACTGCTGTACCTGTTGCTATGATGTAGTTTAATTATTCTGTGATTCACTTGAAAGCATTCTCTGTATAAACTATAACTGCTGGTGTGTCTGCAGATGGGTGTTTGTCTCACTGTTTATTCACTTAGTATTATTATTATTATTATTCATTCATTCATTTAGGAGATTCCTTTCTGGGAAAATGTAGTTTTCAGTCAAAAAATATACTTTTATTAAGCATTGAAAAATATTAGAGCTGGAAGAAATGATTTAAATATGATATTTGAATAAAGAGAGATATAGAACAAACAACAACTTATTTTGATTAATAAAATGTGTTTTTTCATATTCACATGTACATATACATACATACGTATTAAAAGCATATTAAATCATTACACCTTAATAATTTACTGGTGTGGCAGAATGCAGTGATTGGCCCTCGCGTCGCTACACTGGGCTTATCACTTTCATGTTGCAGTGGGTATATGTGGAGCTCATTTTAAATTATTCATCAATTACTTTGAGATTCAAGCTCCCGTTTATAGGCCAGGTCAGCGCCTCGGGTAAGTAGACCAACCAAGGCAGTGTCATTTGAAAACTTTAACAAAGAGCTGTGTAAAGTGAGAATAAAAGGAGGAGGCAGAACTGTTCCCTCTGCTGTAGTTTTAGTTAAGATAGAAGTTTGTTATCAAACCTGACAGACTGTGGAAGAGACAAAAGGTAATCCAAGACCCAAGCAATAGTTGTATTGTGCAGATTTTGAGCGAAAATGTATGTTTGAATTTTATGAAAAGCACTAGTTTTTAAACTAGAAAAGTTTAAAAAAACATGATCCTAACAGAGCTGCCATTTGTTTTCGAGATGACTGTAGTTTGGAGCATAAAGAGTAACGCATCACCTAACCCTTCAGGACCCAGAACAACCCTTTTCAAACAGAAAAGGGTGCAACCTATCTATGTCAAATTTCAAATTTCACTTAGTGAATCTTAACTTCTGCTTTGGATGCACGTTGTTTGTATGTTGATGCTATGCAGCATGTTTTAGATGTTTTGTTCTATGATTACATCACATGTCATTTAGCTGACGCTTTTATCCATAGCGACTTACAATAAGTGCATTCAACCATAGGGTACAAACTCAGAAGAGCAAGAAACAAGAAAGTGCAATTTCCTCAAATAAGCCAATTTACAATTTGCTATAGATAAATGGCGTTATAAGTACAAGATAGTTGTATGCAAGCTTTTCTTTAGTTGACAGCATTGCTTGTGCTTATTAGTGGTTTGCCACTCAAGCAGCAACCCTTAGCTTACCTACCAGACCTCATCTATTAATGCGTGATTACAAGTTTTTTAGTAATGACCTCTTATTGAGTAATTTCTAAAATACTGACTGTAATCTAATTTTGTTTGGTCATTGGACGATTTACTGATATTTACTGCACATTTAAGTGTTATTTTTAAGCATGCTGTGTACAAACATATGTATGTCACTCAACTAAACAACTGTCTCTTTCTGCATCAGCTGGTACTGACCTTCCCCTAGATAAATGATGACAATGGAGAAAAGCGTCACCTAGTGTTGATTTATAAATTAGAGTTTGAATCCGGAACCTCCTGCAGTCCCCTGTTTCAAGTCGGTTGTAATTTGAGGCAGCACCGGACACAATCATGTCGAGGCACCTTCGCTTCATCGCGCGGACTGTTATGGTCCAGAACGGCAACGTCGATGAAGCGTACAAGATTTTAAACAGGTCAGAGGCTTGCGTTTTTAAATAGAAACGGTATAACTAAATGTGCAGTTCCCACGGAGATGACACGCTGATTTAGGCTAATGTTGGTAAGATTGTATCGCTAGCTTTCAGCTCAATGTCGCAGAGCTGCGCCTGCGCAGTGGTGTCGCAGCCTAAAAAGCTAACTTCGGCCAAACGCTCATTCCGGTGTTTTGATGGTTCTATGGATTCCGTTGGGCATATACAGAAGAGGATATGATAACGTCAACACTACTGCTACTAGATCTGGCAGTTTGGGGCAGTTGGGTGTGTTTTATCACTTCCAGACCGATCACGAAGTCGTGTATTCAAAACGCCAAAGTATTTCATAATTTAATAAAGGAACCAAGGAAATCACTCACCACGACATGGCCCTAAAGACAATAATGTCTCAAAGAGTTCGAGAACTTCCTTAAACATCCTTTAGGTGAACAACAGCATCACTGCATGTGTGGTTGTATTTATGGGTTAATAGTCAGCTGAGAAAACAACACCTGGCACCTCTGTCTCCTTGCAGAGAGGCATAGACATGCTCTTAATTCAGTTTGAGCTCCCTCAAGGAATACATGCATTATATAGTTAAATACTTTATGGTAATCGGCCTACTTCTGCACCACTTTTAAAGTAATGCGTCACCTTGTATTACCTGTTGAGCGGCGACTTGATTGCAACCCCAAGTGTCACCTGTTCACACCTTTTCTCCGCATTCTCCAGGATCCTGACCCACGACGGAGTAATTGATGCAGTGAAGCGCAAGCGCTACTACGAGAAGCCCTGCCGAGAGCGACAGCGGAAGAACTTTGAGAACTGCAGGCGAATCTACCACTCGGAAATGGCCCGGAAAATCACCTTCATCTCCGTGACAAACAGGGAGGATCCCTGGCTCGGCTGCTAGACGTGTGATGGGACCGGATCTTATCGATGGACTTGTAGAGACGGGGCCAAAGAAAAGTGGCTTTTGTTGTTTGTCAATTTATTTAGAGTAAAGGTTGGACCTCTTTTACATTTTTATCTGCAAAATCTTGCATAAAAAATGTTCACTTGTGGTGTTAAAAGGAACATTAATAAATAGTTGACAACATTTTGTAGTTTGAACCATCCCACACAGTCTGAAAAGAGTTTTACATTGTCTAAAAATCAAGTATTCCATAATAATATAGTGTTTAATGTTGTATTAAACTTAATTACGAGGAAGTAGTTCAAAGTGATTTACATAAAATGAAAATAAACCAAAAAGCATTAGCAGATAGATTACAAGATGAACATACTGCAAAGTAAGACCAAGCACAAGAAGATTAATAAATATAAAAGGTTAAAATAAAGGAAAGGTTACACCAGTAGAAGAATTATCAATGTAGGCTGGTTGAAAACCATATTTCTTAGATGAAATGTTCGATTTTTGTTGTTTGCCAAACCAACTAATTAAATATCTAACCTCTAATTTGAGAATGTTTGTCCGCACTCCCGACAATTGTAGAATTGTATGGTCATTAGTGGGAGTGGGATCTGATGTAAAAAGTAAAAGAAAAAATAAGAAAAGATTGTTTTGTCATAGTTTAACTTCTGCTCACAAACAAACACACAAACTGCTATCTAGTGTAGAATACGCCATGCAGTGATAGTTTTCCCTCACAATGCGTGAGAAGTAGTTGGACATGACCTCATTTCATCACTCAAAACAATGTGGGGGTTGTTTTTGTGTAGACGGGGTGTGAGCTCTGCACCCCCTCACTCGTAGTCAGGTCGAGGTCACTACTGCACAGTGTGCCGCCTCCCGCAAACTCCCCTGTGCACGTCTGTCAGACCCCTCGCTTTCACCGCGGGGGACTTTAATGTTTGCACTCTCGCTTCTCTCACGCAGGGAAAGGAAAACATTTGCAGCAGGCTCACTTGTCCCAGAGGTTACCAGGTCATGTTGATATCCTGTCTTGTGGTTTCAGATAATGGGTGGGACTGTCAGGAGGACTGAAGGTTTAGTTCTGTCCTATTGTCCAATTGTTTGAGGGCTCTCTGGCAGACGTTTTGAGCCCTTTACGAACCCTTTCCGTAAGTCAGCATTATATGCTGATTTATCCCAAGGAAGTTACCCACAAGTCATTGCAATGTGACGTTTAAAACGGGATAACCAGTAAAAGCATAAAAAAAGGTAAACAAATAGGACGGCACACATGTGTGAATCAAAATAAATACATTTAAAATATCAAAGATTAAAGCTGGACAGAAAAATCTGACAATATTTATTCATTTATTCATAAAATATTCAATTTTTTCATGAATCAATTTGGATCAAAAACATTAATTAAAATGATCTCATCTTATGAGAAAACAGCATGAAAGATGTTCAAATCAGAGAGTAAAAAGTATAAAATAAATACCCTCACTTGCAAACCATATTTTTGACTTTGTTGTGGTGACGTGACATGTAGCAGCAAAGTGCTGTCCCATCCATATTCCCACCATTTAAAGCCCTCACAGACTCACACCCAACCATTTACCGGGTGACGTCAGGTAAGTCCCTGAGGGCTCAGGGCTCAGGGTGGAGATTGGGATTGGGCCGGAGGCTTGTCCAAAACCCAGATGGAAAACTTCCTCCATTCAACCATGTCAAACTAGCGCATGTCATTTCCACTCCTTTTGTTCTTTCCTTTTATAATAAAAGCTCTAGATATGAGAGCTTTGGCTGGCGGATGCTGCTCTGGGTCAACAGGAACCAGGCAGAAGGTCCTATGCCTGCATGGATCTATCCAAACATTTTATTGAAAGGTTTGAATATAGATATGGCTGAAGATATAATTAGTACCGATGCTAAATATTTTCCGATGAGTATTTCACATTCATGTGTTATTCGGCCTCCGGTGTTTAAAGGCCTAAAAGGGGATGCTGCTGTGAAATATTTTATTTCTAAATGTTATTTTTTGTGATGTGAGCTTCCCAAATTTCATTTTTGTTTCAGTGCCGCTGTATTGTGCTAGCCGAGACATATATTAAAAAATATCTGTTCATATTAGTGTCATTTTATATCCATCAGTGAGTTTTTATCAGCAGAGAGGTTTTAAGTCTGCATACTGTGGGTTGTTTGCTCAGAATGCTGCAATGGGGTTGTGAAATGTTTTTTGGGCCCTTGCCCAGCATGCACACTCAGACACACAGCCACTTCCTTATTCCAGGCTGAGCAAGACTGCAAACATGTCACCACTTGAAATATTTAGCAGTTCACCGTACAACGTCCCTATACACATCCAACAGCTTTACCTCGTGCAACAGTATGACATATTGGCTGCAGCTCGGTTGGCTGATACCAAGAGTATTCACCAGGACATGAAATGCGCAGGACTTGTTTTCTTATTCTTGTGATATCCTAATGTATCCAATAGCGCTTTAATATGGTCCTTTGTAAGCTCTGCTCCATTTTGAATCAAATCATTTTGCACGAAGGCATAGTCATGCTTCATGCCTTGTGTTTTTTTTCAGCTGGCTGAGAGCAAAACTGCAACCGACTCCTCCACACCCACAATTTAGCAACGTCTACTTGCTCACATGCTTTAACACCACCTTTTTCCTTTTGCTCCTCCAGCCGTTACCCGTTCCCTAAACTAATTATACTAACTATATCATCCTAAGCATGCGTCTTTTGGCTGTCATCTTATCAAGAGCTTGATACCGCCTACTGCACGTCACAGCACGCTATTTTTAAATTACCTCAAATAAATGAGTCACTCAGCATATACCAATAGTATTATCAGCCTAAGAGTGAGTGGCAAGCGTTCTGTCTCTAATGGGCCTGTGATGTCACGGCTCATAATCTTATCTGCCGTGTGGATTCACTTCAACATAGCAAGCAAGAAAAAATGAAGTCCCATTCGGTTTGTTCGACTGAAGGTATACACTATTCCTTAAAAATTGAGCTGTCAATTACTTTCAAAAAGCTTTTCCTTGCCCCCTTTTCTATTGTATGATTATTCAGCAGAATCTGTAGTAAAAAGATGCCATATCTAAGGTTGCCTTAGAAGACCACGTAGACCATCGTAATATATTGTGACATTAGACTGGTAATCCGTCTCATTGTTTTATCCTTGTACTTGACAATACAGCCTATATACACACAGATACACCATGTCTGTGTCATCCTGTCTATTAAGAGGAATAGAGGAACACGTTTTCCTCCAGGTAAACACAAACATACACGATAACGAAGAAAAACAATGGCAGTAAAAAAAGAGGCAAACACGATACAGGAAGTTGGCTCTATGAAACAAATCACAGCAGGCTGACCTGAGTTGCTTTGTTATTTCCCCCTAAAAGCCATTACATCTATAAACGAAGGCAACATGTGACCTCATTTGAATACCGACATCGTATGCACATGCTATCTGCCGCGTGCGTCCCGTCTCGCTCTCCAGCCACGACACCAACACGTGCGGCAGAGCAGCGTGCGGCGGGATCCACGCATTTAGCAGCCAACCGGCGCCGTGAATGCCGCCGATTGGCCAATCCCTCAGCCAATGGGGAACAGGTTGAACCTCGTTTCAGCCAATCGCGGCCCTCTACCTCGCCGGCACGTGTAGCGTACGTTGTTCTGCGAGGGTACTTGTCCGGCAGCAGATTGAGAATCCGACAAAGTAACCGAGGGAGCAGACGACACCACCGAGAGATATTTTATCCACCTTATTATTTATCTACGACTCACGGTTGTTTGTTTATTTTGCTTTCCTCAAACGTTGCCGTATTGTTTCGACCGTTTTTGTGAACAGTTTTTGTGAACAGAACTGCTTCGACAAGAAGGTAAGATCGCTCCCCTGCGACCACTTGCTGTTTTTCACATTGTGGCACGTTAAATATGACCAGTAACACGTTTAGACAGTAAGCTATCCGTCACGTTAGTTAACTTCAGGTCATAACTTTCTATATTATTTGTGTCATGTCTCCGACTAGACCAGGATCAAAACGTCGCTCCGCCTGTTTGTATATTTTCGCAGAAATGACGTCAGATGGATAATTAAATTAGCAGGTTAAGAGAGATCCGCGCTTATTGCTCGCAACGTCAGTCGTGACGGTGGGAAACGTCATCACTGACGTGTTGAAATCGGTCAGAGGTTTGTTATTGCTGTTGAGGTCAGATGAATTAACGTACTTGCGGTAAACTGCGGACATAAACATCTGTCCTCAGGACCTCAATGTTCGCACAAACAAACTCATGGACGTGCCTCTGAACGAGTCGGTTTGCTTGCTCATATAGGAGCAGATCATTGAGTGCTTTCTTCCTGTGTGATCATCTTCGATGAGCATTTTATACATTATATGTGCAATTGGAAGACATCCACTGATTTCGCTCAGTATGCTGCTAATGCAATTCTGCAACCCTCCCTCGTGCCACGAAGTTCTCTTATGACATCATCATCTGCCTGTCTCCACAGATGAATACATTGGGCAGTGCTTCCAAATGGCCGTCTTATGACTCGCTAAGCTCCGCTTCAAGCCATCTCCTCAGTGAGAGTGAGCACACTGAGGATGAAGCGGACGTCTTCTCAGAGGGAGAAGGGGACAGCGGCACAAGGAAGAGCGTCGCTAGTGACCATTCGGTCACACTCCCTGGAAAGTATCTGGATTTCCCGGTTCGTTCAGATCGGCTGTCCTCAAGGTCTAAGGTGGACCAGCCGGCACGTTGCCATGACGACGCCAAGCGCCCTGACCCAGCCTCTCCTCGTGGAGTTGCCACCTTAAGCTCATCTCTAGCGACACCTGGTGATCTGGCCTTTGCACAGAAAGTGAGTCTTCGCTTCAGTGTTTTAGTCCACCAAATAGCAGACCAGTTGTAGTAATACCATTTTTTTTTTCCCCTCCTCAATTTGTCAGTGTGCAGATTTGCGGAGGTTTATCTGTCCTTTGCTGGAACTTCTACATGGTTTAAAGACCGGAAGATTTGACAAAGGTATGTTGTTGAGCAATATCAAACAGGATTTGGTGCTTTGACTCGTACTTTGTGCATTTAAAGTTTCCTCAACGTTTGTGTGGTACGTTTTAATTTGCGCAGGTCTATCCAGTTTCCAGCAAAGTGTTGCAATAGACCGATTGCAGAGGATTCTTGGAGTCCTACAGAGGCCTGAAATGGGGTAAGGCCATCACAAATGGTAGAAGAAAATGGCCAATTGTAATCTTCGTCCATAGCCAGCATTGTTGTTAATCCTCGTCACTTAATTCCTTTTCTTTTTCCTGCAGTGAGAAATATCTCCACAACCTGCTGCAGATAGAGATCATGCTGAAAATATGGTTCCCTCAGGTGGTGTTCCAGTCCACACACATACCAATCCATACCACCACTCCCAGTCTCCGACCACATTGGTGCCAAAATCAGCTCCACATGCCAGTTAAGGTGAGCGTCATATTGGATGTACCCTTTGTTGACATATGACACTGCATTATTACATTTTAGAACTTGAGACAGAGATGTAAAAATAGCAATACTAAAGTTTCATTAAATCAAACCTGCATGGGAAATATATTATGTGAAAGATGAAAAAAAGAGCATGGCATTTTTTTACTATGAAGAACTATATAAAGATGATGATTATGATAGCTGCCCGTATCCTGTTTAAAAATAATGACTCGTGATCAAATCTTGATACAGGATTTTTTTATTTTATTTTATTTCCTCACCTCTAGTTATAAAATTGTAGTTTTCCTTCTAGGCCCTGGTTTCTTATGGTTGTTCTTTTTGGTTTTACTTCTCCGCTCCAGAAGAGAAAGCTGAGCTGGTCAGATCAAAACGACCACAGCAAGGTCCCAACCAAGCAGAAGCACCATAAACACGGGAAACATGGGATGCCACTCGACACAGTTTCCTCATGTCTACCAGGATCACCAAAGAAGCAGAGAGGACCAGAGGAAGGAGCAGTGGAACCAGCTGAGTTCACATACAGCACTGTCACATTAAGCAGGCCGTCATATTTATGTAGCAAGAGAGTAAATGGGATTCCTCTGCCCGGCCCTTGTGAACGCCCGGCCACACAGGACAGCTCCGTGTCCTCTAGTGACATCATGACTACAACTTACTCAACTTAGCTGTCCTTGAGACCACGCGCAGGTGCCACTGCATGAGGGGAAGGCAGAAGGCGGACTTGATTACATAAGGATAAAGTTTGACGCAGAGCCAATCTGTGATGCCTGCGAGGCATGTTAAACGGGAGGAGGAGTTGTGCATTGGCACTCTTGTTAATCCTCAACTCTCCGGTGTTGTGTTTGATTACACCAGAGTTATTGCGCTACAATACCAGGAACTGCATTGTCTGTAAGAGTATCACTTTTGTATACGTTGACTTTTACAAAAACAATTTTAGAAATACTTTTTTATGTGTATGTTTCAAAGCGGCCAGTGCTCCGTTTTGTATTTTTTCATATCATAGAGCAAAGCTTGTCAATAATAGTATACAGTTTCATGACACTATAAATGTACTGCTTTTATAAAAGTGAGGCATCACAGAGGATCACTGCTGACAGTTTTAAGATGAAAACAACCAAAGTGATTTAAAATGGCATTTAGAGAAAGCTGATTGTAACATGGTTGAGCAAAGACAAATGCCGCTGCTGCCAAAATGTGCCAAACAAAACCGTTCAGCATTGTCATATTGTATGCAACTTCCTTGCCCTCTTTATTTACTAGTAGGTTACAGACCTACGCAGACACTGTTTTTCTTCTCCTTTCTAAGTATGAAAACTGCTGCACAGAAAACAACCTGATCGATCAAAAATGAGTGAGGCAGTAGAGGAAATATGAGCTCCTCTCTAGATGTTAATATCAGTTTATCAGTCAGTGGGAGTAGAAGGAGTTGAAAACGTAATATTTTGTTTAAGACTACATTTTTATATCTTTAAATTTTAGAACAGGCCTAATATATTTGATCCCCTGTACAATGGAATGGATTTATCTGCGCTTATGATAATTTGTTAACATTACATCACATTGTGATTTAAAGATCAGCTCAAAGTACTTCAAAATGGTGATTCCATCGACAAATCGATGCTTTACAGGTCCTTTAGTTATTTAGATTAAATTTAGTTTATCTTATTATATTTAAACACAAAATGGCACAAATGCAAGACAATTATGAAAGAAGGATCACTGATCCACTTTTGTGTTTTGTCCGCAGTGTTTTACTAGTTTCGATGTCATACAGAATATCCGGGGGATGTGATAAACAACTATTTTTGTCCTCAAGCACAATGCTTTTTTGTTATAAAATGTGGCCATTTGCACCTGCACATTTTAAATCTATCATTCATGTTGAATGGTGTTTCATCCTTGGTGGTTTGTCACCAGTCAACCTTACTTTTTGCTTGACCTAAAGGTAAACGTAGACTTGCCTGAAGCTCCACCATCAGTCATCCAAAGAGTATAATATTATTTTAACAATGCTAGTCTTCATTTTAACACATATCTCATCAAAACCGAATGTGCTACTGTGTAGATGTAATAGTCATATGCATTGGCCCTGAGTTATGTCATTCAAAATGTCACTAGGTGGAAAGGGAAAAGCGCGTTATTTGTACTGTTTTGTAATATAAAATGGCGCAAGTTTTGCTGTGCTATGTAACACATCTTTCATTTGTGGAATAAGTTTCCCAGCTGTACCGCCTTCCATATTAGATGCTTTTTTTATGTTTTATTTGTTTTGAGGCTATTTTTTTTGTTTCTTGCAACGCAATTGTCATTATGTTTGAAGGATTCAATAAACATATATTTTATATATTAATTGAGTGGTGTGGTTCATTAAAATAGAATTTGTTGTACTTTAAACTATGGACGTTGTCTAATTTTTATATTAAAAAAATGGACCTCGGAGTTCTCGCTGCCAGTAACGTACAGCAGGTGGCGCTAGCGAACCGCCCCCTCCGCGGCACTGGGTGGCGCCATGTTCGTATCGTGTTTGCGGAAGTGTCCTTCGTTGCCTTACTAGCGCGAGTAAACACGTCCAGGATGTCGTTAGGCGCTACGTTTTAGCACGACATGTTCGGTCACACAAACCACTGGTTGCGGTACCGAACCTCCCGTCGGACGAACTCTAGGCGCATAAAGTGATTGGTAACCGCATACGGACTCTTTAAGATCGCGCGAGTGTCAAATGTGCAGCTAATGCGCCGCTCAAGGCGACGATGTCTGTGCTACGTCCAGGTAGCATGCTAAGCTAAGCGCTAGCCACGGCTAACTCCGGTCGGTTATTGGAATGGTAGCGCGCAGCCCGAGCTCCCCCGGACATGGCGACTGGAGCAGCAGCCGCTTCTGGCGGCTCTTTCGAGTCATCTTTAGAGAAGAAGTTTCGAGGTGTTTCCAACACGATGGATTCCATTCAAGGACTTTCGACGTGGTGCATCGAAAACAAGAAGTACCACAGCCTGATTGTGCGACACTGGATGAAGTGTTTGAAGAAATGTGAGTAGCCCGACTAACGTTATTGTTTGATTGACAGGTGCTGATGATCTCGTTCTGGGGGCCACGATGGCAGCGCACTTGCCGTCAATAATAGTGATAATAATTTGAAGCCGGTACAAACTTATCTAGCTTATATAATGTGAATTAAGTATTCGTTGAGGGGGTTTGCCTGTTGGGTCCTTAGCTGCTGTCAAGTGCTGTTCAGTATGGAAGTTTCAAAAGTATGCATTTTTGTTTGCTGTGACTTCTGATGGCATCTGTAAAAACGTTGTATATATCTAGTGATCAACTATTTGCCAATAGAACTAACCATAACATCGGTTGATAACATAAGAACACAGATTAATGTACAGGATAGTAGCAGAGGTAGTGGTGGATGATGCAAAGATAGGCCATTAAATAGTGCTGGACAAATAATTTATATTATCATTTTAACTGTAAAAGGTTAGCAATACTGGTATTTTTCTATGACAGTTGCAAAGTAATAATATTTATAGAATAGAACAAATATCTTTAATATTTTACGAATGTAAAGGAAGGATTTTTCAATGTTTGTGGTGAAGCAGCATAAGTCCAGTTTCAATTTACAGATTACAGACACAGTCAAGAAAATTGTTAAAATAAAAGAAAACTGCTGCAATGAATATTTTAAGAGGAAGAAAAGACAGAATTTTCCTGAGGGTTTATAAAGATCCCACATATGTTTAAAGAGAATAAAAAATATTTCTATGTATCTTGTATGGAGTTCACCAGTGGTGTCTGTTGAGGCCTAATGAAGCAGCCATCGCCTCTTTTCTTTCTGCATCCCGATTGTTGCTGTCTTTGTGCAACATGCTTCCTACTGTGGGCGAGAGACAAGCCTAAGACAAGTGTCACTGGTCGCTGAAAGTCCATGTTTGGACTTGTCATTTGCAGTTTGGAGATGTCTTTTAATTCGCCTTGTTACATCACTGTGAATTGTGTCTATTCTCTCATTCATAAACAAATATTAAGCATTTGGCTATACAAACTATGTTTGTAAATAACAGAATTATTAAATAGTCACAACCGAGTCAAGTCTTTAACTCAAACATGAAATATGGTCTTGTATTTGTGTACATGTAGCAGTAAGTAGAGATTGAGGGCGCCTGTGGTTGAGGGGGGAGCGCCGTCCTCCTGCAATCCGAGGATCGGCTCTTCGATCAGATAGTAAAAAGGATCCTTTGTATTGTGACCAAAGTGTATTTGTACATTTACAAACGGCACACAGAATGTGTAAATAAAACAAAGCAAGGTCTGTTTTCATTTTTTCAAACAGACCTTGCTTTGTTTAATTTTTGTTTAATTTTTTTACCAAACTCCCGTTGTCCTCTGGAAACCCCTGCTCAAAAATAAATGACGGCCATCCAGGCCGATGAACACAACACTCAATACGTTTTTAATACATATTTAACATGAATATGTATTGTAATTTATATTGTAATGTATGTTTGTGGTGGAGAAAATATATTTTACTATGCTGTTCGGAACACAGATTTGTAGAGTTTGGTTTGTCTGGTTTTCCTGTGGAAAAAGTTGCAAAACCTGAAGTTTGTGCTTTTAATCACCCAGAGGATTTTAGCAAGTCAATAGAAACTGTTTGCTTGGATTTAAACTTTTAGTGTTTATCTATTTGCTGTGAGTTTCCCAAATGTATTTTGAAGATGTGACGTTTCAACCAATGGACTCAGTTCATATTTAAAAGGCTCATTTTGCACCGTGATGAAATGTGTTTTAAACCAGATCTTTTTTGCAATGTTTTGCTTCATAGTGCACTAATCGCTATCTATTAATTGAGTCATTTAGCACATGTTTGGCTGGATATTATTCCGCCGTACTTTAACTCACTGAAACGATGTGTTTTTTTTCACGCATTGTTTGATGAGATTATCAGCATTGTGCAGTTGAGTTTGATTCTCTCTGAATTAAAGATACGTTTTTGTGGGGAAAGCTGTAGTCAGTAAAGTACAGTATTGGTTTGGCGTTTGCACCAGAACCAGAAATTATATTAGTAGTTGTTATTTCACTCCCTCACTTGAAAGCTCTTTGTAGTCCACATAAGAAACATAGAAAGTGAAACGTGGTGCATAGTCTGATGTCATGACACAATTTGCTCTTTATTTGCCACTAATTTGCCATTAGTTTCATTGATTGACAGTTTAACATTCCCCACTTCAATAATTCACAAACGGTTGTTGTCAACCATCATCTGTCAGATTGATTACTTAATTTTATTGTCATTTGTTTATTAATGGTCATTTACAAAAAAACATTTTCATTTAACAGTTAACAAATGATAATATTTTTCAGTTTGGGCTGCTGGTAATTCGATAAATGCTTCTCATTTTGACTTTTGGTTTAGTAGTTTATTAAATTTCGACATTGCGATATGTATAATGTATCAAAACTGGTGAAAGATATTGGCTTCTTTACTGGTTTTATTGCTTCCTGTCCTACCAGTTAAATCAACACTGCTGTCTCTCTCCTCTAACAGCGGATACCTCACACAGACTCAACCTTTTCTACGTCGCCAACGATGTCATCCAGAACTGTAAAAGGAAAAACGCTATCGTGTACCGGACGGCGTTCGCCGAGATGCTCCCCGAAGCCTTCCTGCTGGTCAAGTGAGTGGTTTATAGAGCTCGTCAGAGGTTACCGTCCTTATTAGCTCCTCGTGTGAGGCAGTCGTAGTACACGATAATACACGCTGATATACTTTCTTTCCCCTCGCTTCTCACTTCCATGTGTCCTTATGTTCATTCAGTGAATTGCCCCACACATAAAACCCAAATGTCATTATAACAACACAATATAAATCCTTTGGCTCATCCTCCCTCTTCTGTCGTTCCGTTCTCCAGCAATGAAGGTGACCCCAAAGTGATTAAATCGGTGGAGAGGATACTGACCATCTGGGAGGAAAGGGGTGTGTATTCAGGGACGCTTATTACTGAGCTCAGGACGAGCTTAGTCAAGGAGGAGTCCCCTCCAGAGACGCCCGCAGAGCAAAAAAGTGAGTCTCTTTGCCTTTACTTTTTTCATTTGACATTTTTCTTAACACCTCAATTAAATTTTTTTTATAACTTCTTCTTAACATGCATTGTTTTCTTTTGTTTAGGCACAATATGTTGTTGTTCAATTAGATACTACACATTATTCATATCTAACCTTAAGTTTACCGTGTTCAGCATTTTATTTAATTGTATCTTGTTATCAAAGTACTAAAGTTACACACCTGTGTGGGGCTGCTCATCCTTTTTTCTGTTCAACGTAGTCTCTAATTACTATTCTCATTATTCTCCGAAGCTCCAGTTGACTCTAAAGCAGATCTACACTCCAAGATTGTTGCTGAGTTTGTGGTAAGAAAGACTTTAAAGTGTTAGCGAACAAATCCCTAACTGAGGTGCAATGTTGTTGATTTACAAATGAAGTTAGTTAGTTTAACCCGCCCCCCCCCTTCCACTTTAATCTGATATTGCGTTGGTTTGACTGCTCCCTCTGCTTCAGCCCCAAGCACTAGTCGAGGAACTGTCCAAGTACAAGAAGTCTGTCCAGGAGGTGGACATGAGAGAAAAGCAGCTGGCGTCCATGAGGATCGACATCTGCAGCTCTGATGCCCTCAAGAGACTGAAAGGTGCCCGATCGTTGTCTCTGCTCCAACGCGCCGATGGGTCTTGTTTTCGAGATCACTCGCGTCCGTTTTTCTTTCCTCGCGGAAAACTCATCCTCGCATCCCTTAATCTTGCAGATAAGGCCGGCGGAAAGAAATTCTCCAAGGACTTTGAGGAAGGAAGTGCGCAACTGCAGGAGTTTGTTAAGTTCTTTGACAAACAGATCTTAACGGGGCCCCCTGTCATGGAGGCCCTGAAGAACGCAGATATCTTCTACGAGATGCAGTACAAGGAGGTCAAGATTGTTGCCAATGTGAGTTTGTTTGTATTTGTCGTATTATTCAACCTGCCACGTCAATGTAATCGGGAATAATACAGCTTGAGAGGCGCCGCACTGCTCATTTCCACGAGGGCTGCTCAGTAGCAGGACGCAGAAAACAAAGTGAGACCGGAGAATATAATTAAGTTTAAATTGCCCGGATCTTCCTTCTATCGTCAGCGTCCGTGGGCCCACGGGCCTTTAGCCCCGCCTCCATCAAAGCCCGGCGCTCGGATGTCTCACTAAATCAACCAGTCAGGTTGAAGAATTGAAGAAGGTTCATTCTCCCTGTTCCCCCTATGTTTACAACTTCAGGGCGCCCCCTTGTTATAACACATGGGGAAACACTGATTCTAATATTGTCGCCACACTTCTATAAGATGAGGAAAAGATTTTTAGATTTCCAGGCACCGGACTCACGTGGTCCAACAAAGCGCCATGCTGTCCGGTTACAATCAGAAGTCTATAATAAACTACTAATTACTGCCTTCGGTCTGCAGCGTGACGTGTTGGTGGACGGAATAGATTTGTTTTTGCTGAAATTTCAAAGACTAATTTGTGTGCTTGCAAAATATATTTCCCTGTTCTCAGTAATTGAGGTACAAAGGTAACGCCATAGTGTCCATGCAGTGTTCAAGAAAGATGCTAAAGTGGTCGGCTACTGCGTGATGTACATACAGTAAAAACACCGTAGGTGCAAAAGTTCAGACTTATGAACTGTGACATGACAGTCCGACAAGAAAGAAATAGAACACAAAATTGAAAATGAAAAAAACAGTTGCTGATGTTCTGGGTGGTAAGGTGGCTGCGAGCTGGCCAGTAAAGTTGTTGGCCGGCCGTGTTTTGGTTCACGTTTAGTTGTCGTTACTTACACTCCGTGACCGTTCCCCCCCGAAGGCCTACCAGACCTTCGCCAACCGGGTGTCCCATCTGAAGCGCAAGCTGGACACCTTGAAGGCCAACCTGCCGGACCTGGACGAGTCCCCCATCCCCTCGCCCTCCGCAGACGCGCCGTCCCCCACCGGCTCCGAGTCCCCCTTTCGGGGCCTGGAATTGGCCCACCCCGATTCCGAACTCGACGGCTGCGCTATGGATGACGAGGCGGAGCCGCCGGCGCCGAGCCCTCTGTCCTCGCCGGGAGGTTCCCCCAAACCCTCGGCGGCGCTCGGGCAGAACGACAACCGGGAAGTGGAAGACATGGAGCTCTCCGAGGAAGAAATCGACGCCGCTGGCATTATAGGTGAGGAGGGGGCTGCTGATTAGGGACCGCTCACAATATTGGGGTTTAGATTATCCCCAGCAACTTGATGGAGATTTCTGGGGGTTTTCCAAATTTATTTTTCAGAACCACACACTACGTGTCACGTAGTCCACGTATATGTGGACATTTTTAAGGTTGATACCTCAAATATAATACTAGGCAATCACACTTAATAGCACCCCAGGTAAGAGAAGGAAAATATACATTTTGGAGGTTGAACTGTCCCTTTAATGACAAACTGCACAGTGAACGCCTTTTAAGGGCAATATTTATAATTGCAGAATGTCTCAGGCGGTGTTATTATGTGCATAAAATAATGAAAACGAGAAGCCCGACTAAAAATAGTTTTTTTTTTGCCCGACTGAAAGTGAATCATGAAGAAAATCCCACAGATAACGAGGCTTTCGTGTGTATTCCTCCAGTATTTCCTCCAGTGTGTGTGTGTTGCAGCCAATTGGGCGTGGACCCCCCCCCCCCCCCGCAGAGCCGTCTAATTAAAATCACATACATTTTTACCTACCGGTCATTTTAGGCCTTATTGTCCAGGTAATTGTCTCATTGGCTAGTACACCTGCTGCTTACCTAATATGATCTTTGTTAATAACCACCTTCAACTCGTATTATTTTGTATTTATTAAGGATTTACTATTTTGTCTTTGAGTGCTCTACTCCATCCTGTTAAAATTATTGAGCTGAAACTGGACCGTTTTTTGTTTTTCTCATTTTATCGAGAAAAACAGTTAATTGATTACTTGAATAAAATTAGCAGATTAATTGATAATGGGAGTAGTTTTTGAAGCTGCACATTATTTAAACATTACACATAACAGCTTACGGCCAGTAGAACATTGTTGTTCATTATGCTGTCAGGATGTTAAGAAGTTTTGTATTGTAATGTGTTTTTTTTTTAATTATATTTTTTAGATTGATGGATGCAATTTAGTTTTTCACAGTAACCCAGACTGTGTCATTGTTTTTGGCAGCATATCCCTCTCTATTCATTTACCAGCGTACACGTTTCCTCGCCTGGTCTCATAAATTATCTGGGCTTGTAGAAAAACAATGACAAAATAAATTGTGTTTCACGGAGTGCACGTCTAATAACCTCTTACTGCCCTATTTGTGTCCTCAGTTGAGGAGCAGAGTGAATCCCGCTCCGACCCAAAGGCGCCCACGTTGAAAACTGAGACACCGGTGGCAAGAGAGCAGCCCGTCCGGCAGGTCGCCCCCTCTGTCCCCGCAGCGGCTCATCTAGCGGCACCAGTAGCGCCTCCTGCAGCCGTGGAAAATGTCGACCTGGGTAAAATCGGCTCCATCCTCAACAGTTTAAACTCGGTCATGAAGAACACAGGTGAGTGCCGGTGGTTGTTAAAACATTACAATAAAATATACGTTTATTTTTTTTAAAGAACCCCCCCCCCCCACACCCCTCCGCACACTATTTTTTGTATTTCTTGTGACATCTACTACAAATAAGAAAGGAAATCTTAGAGCTTGGGAGGAGTTTCTTTACGCCTTCAATGAACAAACTTTGCTAATTAACCTTTTAAATATCTGCAACAGCAGTGGTCCCCCAACGACCAGCCCCCAATTTTGCCCAAATCGTGAAGGGCTTCTCTTGCTTAAAAAACCTTGCTTTTTTGTCTTTGTCCCACAGGACCAGTAGTGGAGAGTCCTCCTGCAGCTGCTGCTGCTGCCTCCTTGTTGAAGACTCCACCTGTGGTGCCTGTGGCCCCCCAGGATGCCAGTTCACTGGTTAATCTCCTCTCAAAGGTGGACGTGTGTCCTGCAGACCTCATCGGCGCTCTCTCCAAAGTCCAGGGTGAGAATAAGGAGTCTATTTCAGTCTTGTGTCATGTGTTTTATAGCATACATTGAAAGTGGCAGGGTTGCTTAAAATACATTTCTGCGTCCTCCTTTTCTTCACTTAGGCATCCCTTCTGTTCTGAAAAGCCCCGCTGCCAACACCTCCTCAGAGTCCTCTAGAACAGGAAAGATTCCGCCGTCCCCCTCGTCCACATCCGCGCCAGCAGTACCCCCGCAGAGCCCGTTTCTCTCCTCCGCTGTACCTGGGCCTTCTGCACAGAGTTCTCAAGCCCCCTCCCAGACTTCCAACCCAGCCTCGGCCCTGGTCCGGGCTCTGCACAGAGAGATGGATCTGACCACAGAGGCAGAACCGTCCCTGTCTTCTAAGAGTTTGGAGTCCAAAATCCACAGCTTTCTACAAGGCAACCCGGCTTTCAGTGCATTCGGCATAGGCCTTTCTGCGATTCCAGCGGCGGGGGCAGATAACCTCAGCCCATTGACCGGAGCGGACACCCGGGGGGGGACTCCGGTGCGGGATGAGGGCGGAGGCACCCCGACTCAAGATGAGATTATGGACAAGCATGCGCCGGGCCCGTTCCCTTCCAACACTAATCAGCCATCGGTTGGAGAAACTCTTAAAGCGGCTCCTGTCGCATACCACAACAGCAGCCAGCAGAGCCGCGGCAATCCCCAACAGCCCAGCGCTGAGCGCCAGAACGGGCAGGTCTACCAGCCGTACCAGTACGGCGAACACAAGATGTCAGAGCACGGCACTACCGCGCCCCTCGGCCATTACCAGCAGCTTTCTGGCCAAACGGGAGGGCCGGTGGCAGAAAGAGCCCCGGGCAGCGGCAGTAGCACTCAGACTCTGGAGGACTTTCAAAGGGTGGGCCAGAGGGGTTGGTATGGCGACACAAACCCGGAGGGGAGCTCTCAACAGCCGAGGGGCTACAACGTGACGGCGCCCGGAGGGGCCGGAGAAAACAACAGGCCAGGACTCCATCCGTACCAAGCGGAGAATTTTCAGGGAATTCAAGAGTTAAGAGAAAAGTTCGCCCCCCAGCACGGCGCCATCAATACCCCGGATTTCTTCCGAGGCACCCTCCCGCCTGTCCCAAAGTTCCCTCCGCCCCCGCGTGTCTTTGATGCGCCTCTCCCCGCGACCAGCGGTATGATGATGATGCCGCCTACGCAACAGCACCCGGTGCCGGGCGACAGCATCATCAGTGGGATGGTGGTCCACGACCATCAGCACAAATCCATATATCCTCCCGACGATTCGCTGTACGATCGCGACCGACCGCACCCTCCCCACCACGAAGATTTCCCCCCGCGCCCAGACGAGCTCGGCTACCACGACGAGCTCGGCTACCACGATGGCGGTTTCTTTCAAGAGGACACGTATCACCACCACCCAGAGGATGCATATTACGGAGCAGGCAGCCCACCGCACCACTTCCCCAGGCGCCTCACTCCCCCTCGGTCACCCTCAGAGGACCCCTACTACCCCCCTGACTACCAGCGGCACAGCCCCCCTCCTCCGCACTACGCTCCAAGGAGACCGCCGCCGCATTTTGAAATGAGTCACCCGGGCCTCCGGCCTCCACATCGGCTCCCCCTGCTGGCGCACCACCCTCACCCCAGAGGGCCCCCGCGCCCGCCGTTTCCCCGCTTCCACGGCCCCAATCCGAGGCTAAGAGGCAAACGACCGGGTCCGCGAGGAGGGGGAATTCCTGGTTCAATGTTCCCCCCAAAAAGACCCTTTCCACCCCCGCGGTACTGACTGGACATGTAGTGGACAAACCGCTGTGGCTGTCACTAAGGGGCGGGGCTTTTTAGACTGTTGAGTAACCTGCTCGTCACTCCGGCTGGATCCCTGCGCGGATGCCGAGGTGGGCGCCTGCAGACAGACTTACACAGAAGAAGAGTCCATGCAGCGGCGTCTGAGAGGCTGGTGGGGGGGAGGTGGGGGGCAAGAGACAACACCAAGAGATGGAGAAGGAATTCGAGGCTCTGAGAAGGCTGCTGCGCTGAAGGGTGAAGACCGAAGAGAAGATTAAAGAAAATAAGAGGTGGATATATATATAAATATATACATATAATTCACTTTGTGTTATTCGGCCCAGTAGGAAGCATCACGTTATATGTGTAATTGGAGCGCCAGAGTGTGCATGGTATGCGTGTGCATGTGATTACGTCAACTAGTCACAGAAGATGAAACTGCGATGGTTATTACTGCGAAAAAGAATGAAGCTGGTGCAATTTCCGCTGTTATTTAGTTTGTCAGTGAGCAGTTTTGACTGCTTCTCTTCATTTCAGCAGTTTCCCCAGTATCGTTTGGTAAAAACGTCAATTTGAATCACTTTGATTTGACTTTGAATGAGGTTTTCTTCTACAGTACTCGTGAGCATATTCAGGAAAAACGTACATTTCATTGTTCCAACTCCGAATGTCATTTTATTTGTGAAGCGATGCTTTCTCAACCGGTGCGTTTGATCCCTGCGGCGATATTTTTACGTCTCGTTAAGTTCCTCGAAGGAGAGCGGCACTCAAAAGGGAGAGAGGTGCGAGAGTTCTTTTTCTCTGCCTCCAACACCGACGCAGAAGAAGGGGATGAAGAAACTCGTCTTCAGTTTCGTTTTACTTGTACTGACTAATAAAAATCTGAGTTTGAAAAACTGTGTTGTTTCTTCCACCTCCCCGCCCTTTTATCCTTAGACTGTTGCACCGCTGCCCGGAAAGAGTGAGTCACCCTCTTGACGTTGCATTTGAGCGTTTTAATGCATTTCGTCTGTGAGGAAATAGCGATTCACTATTTTGATACAAACCGTGCAAAAATGTTTTTTAAAAAGCAAAGGGAGAGTTTGATCCACAGTGTCTGTTTCCTATTGGGTCTAAAATAGGTTTCTGTGACCGTGCAACATTATCTGAGGAAGGTCCAAGTAATCACTCAAAGAATAGAAACTCAACAGTAATTTACTGTATTTAAATAGTTCGCTAAATTCAGTGGTCTACGTTTAAGTGCCACCGTTTGCAACGAAAAGTTGAGGTTGTCGCAGATCACATTAAATAACCTGCTCTATTTATATGGTCCATGTTTTAAATAAGGCTTTAAAACTAGACCATTACGTAACTGAACGATCCCCCGCACATCTGTTGGTTTAATTGTTCATTTACAATTGGCTTTCTTAGACCACACTTAGCTGAAGTGACCCCGAAAGTCGTTGTAGGTTATTTTGCTGTCACTTAAAGAGGACACATGTTGCAGTCCTAATATTGTCTTTGTTTAGATTTTCATTTCTAGTGCAATTTAATCAAATTGAATAGGTTTTAATTTGGAGGATTTGCATTCTATGGTTTTCGGTGAAATCTGTTTAACTTATTTGCCAATAATTTCATCGTTAAAACGTTTCTCATGTTAGTCTGCAGAGTTTTGAAGTGATCTATTCATTCTTCATCATAAATCATCTTTTTGCCCAAGCACTTAACACCCAGCGACCCGTATCCTCAGGAGGGCTTTACTGTCTGCTGTGAACTTGATCCACTGAAGCTCTCCATTTGGCCCGACCTTTAAAATCATTCCCTTTCACTGTGATGCAGACGTTTGCCGTTGAAGCGTCGCCGTTTCCTTTGGGGGGAATCGATGTTGCATTCGATGTGGCTGTCGAAGGCTTCCTGCCTCTTTAGTGGAGGAGGAGGACTGTCGAGCTCTCAACTTCAATCCGCACTGACTCCACAAAGCCATTCAGTGTGGGAGCCAACTTGCATTTCAAAGTAATTATCAGCAAGATTGATTAGGCAATTACGAAACAACTATTAAGTGTTCTGCTTGATTAATTCATTTGCATCAAAAAAAGATCACATTTTAATTAGATGCTTGGACGTGAACACTTAATTACCTTGTTGCATATTCATCTTTTTGAATTTGGGATTTTATGCTCAAAAATTAAAAAAATAGATTCCTTGACTTCGTCTATATGAAGTGAAACATGTCCCAGGTAGATTAAATGTATCTTATACCGCAAAAGTCAATTGATCTGAATTTGGTTTGTGAAGAAACAAACAACACGCAAGAATGAATGTTTTACATTCGCACTTTCGCTCTAATTGCTTCAATACGTTTCTAACCGATCGGCGAATTCGTCTGAGATTTAATCAAGACTAATCATTACAGTTACGGTGTGGATTTTAACCAGCAACCACCGTTCAAGTCTCGATTTATATTTCAACGTTTTATACGTAAACAAGTAGCGCGGCATTATTTAGCGGAAGTTGTTATTACGAGGTGATCGGATCGATGACGCGTGATGACAAACGGCGCCGCGAGCTGAGGCGAAACTCCACATCGCCTACTTTGTAATTACGCACACACACATATATATATATATATATATATATATATATATATATATATATATATATATATATATATATTATACACACACGATATACTTAGATTGTTGGTGATAATTATGATGCTAAAAACACGGAAATTAGCCATGACAATTCATATGTGTGTGTGTGTGTGTCTGTGTGTGTCCCTGTATGTTGCTTCAGAAATAATGTGTTGTCTCTTCAGATATTCTCTTCCCTTGAATATGTACATTCTAACGTGATTCCTGTTCCATCTCTTCCTCCCTCCTGTCGTTATCCGCAGGGATGGAGAGCCTCACTTTGATGTGATGGTAACCTTTTCCACATGGAGGTGTTGGGGGGGTCGATGCTGAGGAGACTCTCCGCTCTGCATCCTGCACGGCTCTCCCTCCCAGTGATGGCTCTTCGTGGTCTGACACGTAAGCCCTCCACTTTAATACATCAGAAGAGAATTGCCAGCAGCAGGAAATCCAAACAGTCGGTGCCACGGTTTGGGAAAATAACGAGTTGAGTTGTTTCTTTCTTTCCATGCTTGTGTGTTTAGAAGAAAAAGGAGCAGAGGGGGTGGACACACAGGCCCGTGTGAGTATACATTGCGTATTATTAGTTCTTAAAAACGTATTCTCTCACTCATTGTCTTGCAATGCCTTCACCAAACCATAGGATTCACCCATTTGATGTCCATTAAATGAACGTTGTTGTGAAATAAAGAGTTTGTGTGTTCATTTGTTTTCAATATCTCACAGCAAGATGTATGTATGTCCTGTCAGAACCCTTCATCTCCTTAATGTCACCCTTCTTGAGAAGGGAAAATACACATTGACGCTTCAGAAGAAAGTAGGTCCTTAATGACCTCGGCCAGGCTGTTTGTGGAGTACTTTACTGATCCAAGAAATTTGTCATTCAAATAAAGCAACTTGTGGAATCTCAAGTACTGGACTTTAGTATTTCCATTTCATGCTATACTTTATACTAATCCATTATACACCCTTTATTTTACTTTACATTTATTGAACATCTGTTACTTATAGAAAGAATTTCCAACATGGTTTTCTCGTGGTGGAAGAAAAGTGTCCAGTCAAACATTCCACTCTTTTTTTAATGGCAATACAGAAAAAGAGATGAGATTTGTTCCAGTGTGTCTCTTTTAACAGATGATTTGGTTTAATGAAAGCCACAGAAGGAGTAGTTCATATAAGCAGCAACAGTAAAATTCTTCTCACTAATGAAGATTCAACGGTTTGAATCACAACAACTCTGAAGTTCCCAGATATCTTTGGCATCGTCACATACATCCATAAAGCAACAAACACGACCGCTGGCATCAACTGTGTTGCAGCTCGTCACCAGATGCCGTTGTTGGTCACATGAACTCTGTAAAAAAAACTAAAAAAAAACGACAACTATTGTGAAAGAGACGCACATATGTTTTAGACTCGCAGTTTCGTCGATCATTGATTTAAATGTGGGGTTAAAGTCCGATGGATTGCTGCAGGCTTATATCGCGGTCGGAGGGCGGGAGGCAGATAGGATTTAGTGATCCTGGCAGATGGCAGTCTCAGAATGAGAGACAAGCCGAGGACGCGTCATGCTGCTGGAAATAAATACATTCAGGATTTTTTTTTTTTTAATGAACGCTGCAACGTTGCTGGAGCCGAGCACGAGCAGCTCGTGACTCCTTTGAGGTGTCGCCGTGTGCGAGGATCGGGTGTGTGCAGCCGCCTGCGTGTCATGTGGGCTCATTGTTTACATGCTGTCGAGATTTCACAGAGGGCGTGTGTGTGATTCTGGTCCGTACATTCACGAGCACCCTCAATGAAATAATGTTTTTTTTTATTCAGAGAGTGAATAGTGTAAAGCCGTGATATTGTGTCATGAGTGGAGTGGACCCATTTCAGAACCACGGCGAGCTCCACGACGAGAACAAAAGGCGGATTTGCATCGCTTCATGTCAGGGACCATCTGCTTTTTAACCGTCCATATAAAAAACGAAGAATTAGATAGATCCCTCAAAAAAAGAAAAAGAAAACATCAAGCCATCCCCACTGACCTGTCTTCGTTATCTGTTGGCCCCATTTGATTGCCTAATATCTCAAATTGTAATCAATTTAAATTGCCTATAAACACTTCCAAACAGTTCAAGTACTGATTAGCCGTTCACAAACGTGAAACAAAGTATGAATGTGGTGTATCTTGGGAGCTCTGGGGATAAAACACAATCTTACCAGAGTTTTAAGTCATGCATGCAGTTCCCTCTGCCCCACTGACTCACCATCAAGTAAAGCAGAAATGCATGATGAACAAGAGGAACTAAAAGATCATTTCCAGACAACCATTGCAATTTGTTTTGGATTTTGGTGCCTAAGTGGTCAGTAAGAACAAGGACTGCGCCTTAATGTAAACAGTTTCACACAAACCTTGAGCATCCCCTTTTGCATCCACGGCTGTATTCAACGTGCTGTCTCTTTCATTGCCTCCTCCTGCCTTTGCGTCTGTCCCGGGGCTGGTAGTTTAGCGACGGTCCCTGGCGGCACACATCACGGCTCGTACGGCCCAGGGGAGGAGGGATGGAGCTGAGATGGACAGGGGGGGAGACACCGGCTTACGACGTCAAAGGAGTACAGACACACACACACACACACACACCGGGAGAGGGAGAGGAGAGGACAACCAGCCATACTGCCAATTCCCCACGGTCTGCTGAAGGGACCCTAAATCCATCTACGGCAACACTCCTCATTCAGCTCAGACATAGAGGAACATTTCTTTATTTTTGTATCAGATTTATTTGAACGGGGAAAATCACGGAGCATCTGTCCGAGAGGGGGGCCGGGGGGGAGGGGGGGAGGGAAACAACAAGCTGGGGAAAAAACACGCTCATGCCGAATAAAGGACCGTCGCTGGATGCCGCTCGTGTTGTTATAGTAGGGGTACAGGCCTAACTTGTTACGGGATCCAAAGGCGCTCTTACAGACAAATGAACTGAATAATTGAGATTCAACAACTAAATATCAGCGGGGGGAAGAACAGAGGCATCCGCTCTTCGCGCCGATTCTTTTCCACGAACAGCAGCACAGGTACGATTGTCGTTTTTTTTCTCCCCCTTTACAACTCCTTGTTGTTTTGTGTTTTTGGCCAGATGTGTAAGATTGTGTTCGGGTCATTGTTGTTGTCCCCCGTTTCTTGACAAAGAGAGGGCAGGTCTCCAGCTGTGTTGACAGACACGCTGTCATGTTTCTGTATATGAATATAGACGGATGGACCAAATCCCAGTGCGTTAAGGATTGTGTGTATACTATTACTATTCACTGTACTTTTAAAATCATTTTTATGACAGGAATAATATATATCGGCCTCGTCGCTAGAATTCTGTCCCATAAAATCCATACACTGCTATAATTTATAATTTTATTATATTCTATTGATTTTTATTCAGTATTTTATGCAAATGATGCACAACATGGTGGCTTCAGCTTTTGAAGTTACATTGAAAAATAAGCGACCACCCCTCCCCATCAAATGTCATCACTCTACCTACTATCACTATTCCTATAGTGATCATCTCTGACATTGTATCTGTGGTCACTACTGAACTTATTATGAATTCATCCATTCATATTTTTGTATTGAATCCTGCATGAGAATCCTATGTCTTTTATTGGGATATCTATATTCAAAACTCCCCAAAATCTCCCACCAGATTACTACCATGTCTACAAGGGTGTGGAAATTATTATTTCAGCCCACCATTTCCCACTGAATGCTCCCATCTGCATCTCTATTCCCGGCCTCCTGTTTGCACCTCCTGTGCTGTGTGAATTTAAGCCCACAGGCTCCTGTCTGCTCCTCCATGATCGCCTGTCTGTGTGTGCGTGTTTGTGTGTGTGCGCGCGCGCCTTATTATACCTCCCCAGACTTCTCAATGAAGGAGCCTGACGCAATCAAGCTCTTCATCGGGCAAATCCCTCGAAACCTGGAGGAGAAGGACCTGAAGCCCATCTTTGAGCAGTTTGGCAAGATCTATGAGTTGACGGTGATAAAGGACAAATACACAGGGATGCACAAAGGTGAGCAGCGAAGGGCCAAGAGCTCCAATTTGAATTTGTCTCATGAGGAAAATACTGTTAATTTGGTATTGATTTCGATGAGAGCAAAGGCTGTTAATCAGCTTTATTGGAATTTAACTGGTTTATCCTTGGCTCTCCACATAGTGTATTTTTTTTTACAAATAAACCATGAAAAGATTAAAAAATATTAAAAAACAAGAACAACACAGACAGAAAGAAAAAAAAGAAGTATATATATATACATAAATATAAATTTACATATAAAGACTTAGATATTTAATATTTGTGACATTGACTGATTAAAGTATTGGTCAATGTTGACCTTTTCTTTCGTTGAGCCAATGATTCACTCACAATACTTTCCAATCGATTCAACATATTTCAATTCAAACCAATGCATTATTTCAGTAGAAATGGACTACATGTATCTGGTTACTTGCTGTTTTTAAAAATCGACCACAATCAATCAGAGTGCTCTGTTTTATTTTCACATAGTCAAACTTGTACTATTAAAATCAGAGGAGGGGCCACTGCTTTCTGCCTTAGATGAATGGACGTTACGTTCTGGAGACTCACATTATGGCAACAACTAACTCCATGAAAACCTTTCAAATGTGGAAACTTTGTTAAGCATAGTGTAAAAGACTACTAAAAGACTAATAACACACAATGAAGATTGTGTTCATGAGACCCGCTGATGCATGCTGGGATGTTTCCCTTCACGCCAGCTTATGCATACTACAATTTAAAAATGAAAAAGAAAACAGAAAGATTTCAAGGTTTCGGTATTAAAAATGTTGAGCAGCACGCTGCATTTTTGTGGTAATAGTCCCGACAATCTCACAAAAGGTATTTTGTCTATCCATAATTGGACACACATAGTGATGTCAGTCACTTTCTAAAAGTTACGTGTCCTCCACTACTACTAAGTAATGTCTCAGCACATCGAGAATCCTGCTTGACACATGAACTGTTCAGCGTCATCGATGCTGAATAATGATCCTTACTGTCATTTTAATGCAAATCTGAGCACAGAAAACAAAGGCTTTCATAAATCCACATAAACCATCAGCCATTTGGGAGACGTACAGGCCAGGTGGTATCAGTCCTCCAACACCTATAACACCTATTCTGCATACATTTGCATATTCATGAATTGTAGGAGCCCCAAAGGTTAATGAAGGCCTTTCTCTATTATGCGGGACTGCATACATTTGGCCTTAGCACCGTGATATTAAATACCCATTCAGAATGTTTGTATCTGAATAGTCTTCAGGTATTATGACTTAATAATCCCATAGATCTGCAGTGCCGCTGCAACAACTATTTAGCAAAATGTTAATGTTATATCTTTGTTCAAGCCAGGAGGCCTTTTTAGAAATGTTTAACGCACGCTGACCCAGAACAGTTGTTACAATAAAAGCAGAGCAAATACATCAAATGGGAGATTATTAGTCGGACAAAAGTCCAGCAGAATGTTACTGCCTACAGACCATTAGGGGCAAAGGGCCAACTAAGATTAAGTCACAATAACATTGCACTGGCAGCAACAGACATTATATGCAGCATATGAATCCGATATTAAAAATACATTGACTTATTGCGCTGATCTTATAACACTTCTCCAGGATGTGCCTTCCTGACTTATTGTGCACGCGAGTCTGCCCTCAAAGCCCAGAATGCATTGCACGAGCAGAAGACGCTACCAGGGGTGAGTGTGTCTTTTTGACATCCGCGCATGTAAAAAAAAAAATTCTATATGTGTATTTATAAATTCCTCTATATATATATGTATATATTAGTGCGAGCAGAAAAATGGGCTGAACGCACCACATAGACACACGGTGAAGCCGGGAAATTAACCGAGTTTGACACGCAGGCCTGACTTCCCCCTTTAGCTGATATGCTCTAATAAAGGTCAGAGGCTGTTCCCTCTCTTATGTTTCATATGTGATGCATCCAGACACATCCATCCAGTTAAGGCATGAGTCATCTTGCTACATGTCACGGGTCGAAAGAGACAGCTATGAGGCTCGCTGCTGGAGTGACTATTCCAGTTCTTATTCTCTCTGATGCTTCTCTTCCTTTCTGTGTCTCCGTTGCCCCCCCCACCCCACCCCCCACCCCGCCCCCTCTTTTCCTCCCATCTCTCCCTGTGAATTTTAATCAAAGTTAAACCTAGATTTATTAGCATAGCCAGGCAGCAGGTGTGCTGCCAAATGACATTTCCAGAGCTAAATATGACATGACAGCCGCGTCTCTATAATAACCGACTGTATGAGAGACAAGGCGACAAGGCAAGGAATTACTGAGACAGAGTGTGCTCCCAGACTTGCTGCTGCTTCCTCTTTTCCTAACAAGGCCTTACCCCTGTTTCCTTTTGGTTATTTTTGTTGAAATCTACATCATTCACATCTCTTTTTTTCTCTCTCTCCCGAACGGCGAGCGCATGACCACATTTTTTAGAGAAAAGCGAGGAGAACAGTCTCGGGCTGCACCTCACAATTCATTCCAGTATTGATTTATCCAATGAATCATTCATTCGGCTTTGGGACGGGATCAAACTGCTTGTTTTAATCCTACAAACAGACCAAACCCCTTTGGTATTTAATTGGGTAATTTTCAAGCAATAGAATGTGAGCTGCTTTTCTTTGTCTCGTGCGTAATATGACGTTGACGGCTGATGGCATTTTCTTTTTCTTTTCTGACGACATTTCATGGACAAACGATGTCACCCTAATGTTTATAAATAGCTCCGACCCTCACGTTTACAGGTTCTTAAGCCAACAAATGTTTTGAATTTTTACGCGATAGACATTTAGTCAATGATTAAAAATGTTCAAGACTGCCTCATTGATTGTTTTGGTGGAACATTGTCGTAACGGCAGGCGGGAGGTTATTTGGGGATATAAAGACATTCGAAGGAGCAAGCTGGTACTGTGGTGGGAACAAAAGAAATTACATTGTTAGCGTGACAGTAGCGTGACCTCCCTGACCTCTCGTAGGGGATCAGCAGGGCCCGATGCCCCGTGGCTAAAGCCACGTCCCCCCCCCTCCTGCCTCTCAACCTCAGCCGCTCTCCTCCTCACAACCTCTTACCTCTAAGCCGTGTGGAACAAGCTAAACCCTCCTGTGTTCTCTCAATCCTCCCCTGCCCCCCCCTCCCCTCCAGCCAAAAGAAGAAGAAGACAAAAAAAAGGCAAAAAACATATTATTAGCTGTGCACACGCCCACGCGGACAATAACTGCTTTCCAGCCCTGCTACCAGCTGTGGTGTAATTGTCATCTGATTGCACCTGCACCGCCGAAGAATAATTAACTCTGGCATCTCATGGTTCGGGCGATACAAAAGAAATAACATGAAAGCAATTATTGGACTGAGAGGAGAATGAAAGCTCACCTGAATGAGAGAAAGCTGAAGGAAGTCATTAACACCCAGTGCTGCTTTTTCGTTAGCGTCTCTCTGGAAAAGAGTTGGTTCTGAAGGTTTTTTTAAATTTCCTCCTTGCTATTTTACTTTTCCTTTTTTTCTTCTCGCTGCTCGTAGAGGGAAAGAAGTCAGGCAAGGGTGAACAGATGGTGGTTTTCGGAGTGGCACCTGGCATTGTGTTTAATTTCAGGTGAGAGAGTCCGTCTCTAAGTGAGAGGGGGAGGAAGAGTGTCGAAAGCACATTGAGCCGAGAGCGAGGAGGGAAAGTGAGAGAAAGGTGCAGTTGGGAAAGGGAGGAGAAAAACAAATGCTGGTTGCAATAAACCAGGTTCACTCCGAGGGGAAGTGTGGAAATGGAACTGGGAATGCTTTTTGGACATCTTGTGCTCTTGTCCCCTCTGTTCTTATCGCGTTCTTATCTTGCAGCGTCTCAGGCCCGTTGCCCTGAGACGCTGCAGCGAGGCCCTCACAGACGATAACATGGGCCATTTTAAACTAAACGCCCCCAAACCAAACTCATATTTCAACGTCTTTAAATAGATAACTGTTGAATTGTGTTACTTGCCATTAAAAGTTTAAAAGATACAGTAACTATTTACTAGATTTTCTGTGGGGTTTTTTTTTAGATGAAAATGTTTGCAGTTTTTTCTCTATAATTGTAATTGGGATTTGGACTATTGATATTTCAAGATGTCCTCATGGAGCTTTCTGGCATTTTGGAGACCAAACAATTAATTGAGAAAATGATCCGTTGAACATCTTTGACATGGAGGGAATTTAGTTTATTTGCCTTCTGATGCCTCTTTCTTAGCTTGGCATAGCATAACATAGCAACAGAAACAGGACTGACCTCTGTAGCCAATGCTAATCGACACATGACACCAAGAACATCGTGTTTGTTTGCCCCGTTTGCTGTTTTTGTTCTTATAAGCTGACCTCCGTCAGCATCATATTTAGCATACAGACATAGAGGTATTATCCTGATTCTCTGCATGAAAGCAAATTAATTAATTTCCTAAATGTCATTTGATAGTAAAGGAAAATAATTGTCAGTTGCAGGCTGGAAGCTCATATCTGCATCAGTAGTGATACAAAGTATTACCGCTCATCAACACTTCCTGTTGTGAATTGATATGTATTTACAAATAATTCTATTAAATGCAATATTTAATATTGTCACTGTGCACAAATGAAATGTAGACACGCAAGTGTGTGTGTTTTGTTGTATATTTGCATGTGTAGCGGGGGAAGGGAGGGCAGGTGTTCTCACTAACGCGGTTTAATGAAGGGTGTGTGTGCTTTTGTGTGCGTGAACGCTGTGTCTGTTTGTCTTTGTGCGCGTTCGTTTCCATGGAGAGTACACATCCAAAGTTATGGATGGATGGAAGTTGTTGGGTTTATTATAGGCCCCTCTCAGGTTTCTTCATTCATTATCTGACGTCTGTGTGTGTGTGTGTGCGCGCGTGTGTGTGTGTGTGTGTAGAATCGGAGCTGCGAGGCCTGCTGTGTTTAAGCTGCCCATACAAGAGGAAAGAGCCCTCTTTGAGTGGAACATCTGACTAAGCCTGACATTTACTCAGCCATAAGGACTCAGACAGAGCAGACAGTGGGGTTTTATCAATAGTCTGAAATAAATGCGAATCCTATATATAGCTCGAGCGTTTCACGCAGGAGATGAGATGAGGGAAGTTGTAGTGCCAGAGCGTTGTGCCCTTAATGTCGCAGCAAACGTTCTGCCGTAGAGACACATGTGGGCCATGAAGAGTTGCGGGGTGATGTTAACCATCTCTGATACACCTGTTATCATTCATTAAATCTTTGTATTTTAGTTTATTTTTTGGCAGCCACAGCTAACTAGGTAGAAACTGAAATGCATGTGTGCCGCGAACGCAAAAAATGTGCAAAATGTGCAAGAAAATCCCAAAGTAGATTTGTTTTACTGTGGCCCCTCCACCTACATGAGCAGGCAAACCTGATCGCATGTCATTTTATGTATCGCCTCATAGGCAGATAAAGCACGGCCTCCATATGTAGCTGTGTCCCGACCGCGGTGAGTTGCGGCGATGATGGTGGTGATGATGATGCTGAGAGCAATTAGCCCGGCCTCAGAGCGAATGTGTTCATTTGATGAATATATGTGGAGTTGAGTGTGCGTTCAGGCGTCGATTCATTTACATACGCATGCATATCAATGCGCGGCGGGGACGACGCGGGACAGGCGGCGCTGACTGACAAACAACGGGCCTGTCCTCTGTACGTCACTCTGGGCCGACTGTTATTATGGAAGCAGATTGGATTTATAGGGGTGGTAAATGGGTGTGAATTAGAGAGAAATTGGATAAATGAAGGAAGGGGGAACGTCGGGGGGGGGCAATGAGGGAGGGTGGGGGAGGGGGAGGAAGAGATGAATGAAAGTTTGAGATAATGAACAGTGGGTGGCAGTAAGGGTGGAGGGGGTTGGAGGTGCATTGAGGCAGTGTGTTTATCAGCTTAAATACAGACATCTGTTACTGAGAGGTTGTGTGTTTTAGGGGGAGTGTAAAGATGTACGCAAACACACACAATTGGAAGGAGGCTCTTGTCTCAAAACTCATTAGGTTGTTTGAACATATATGCTGGACTACAGAGGAGTTAAATAAAAAAGAGAAAAAAGACAAAAAGAAGGTAGGACACGGGCACTATCTGTACACACACACACACACACACACAGTGTCCACAATTCAGTTCTTTTTCCCTTCTGCTTCACTGAGTCGAGTCAAACAACACTTGACATGAATATTTAACAGTCAGCAGAGACAAAACAATTGAGAGTCAACTTGAGTGTTGTTAGAAAGGTGCTCTTTGATATTCTGTCTCTACACTTTGAAGGATTTTTCTTTGGCTGTCTGACAATGAAAGGCTGAATGGCAGCTTCAATGGCTGTCATCTTCGCCTTGGTGCTGGACAGACGAGGGAAGCCTGCAGCGGAGGAGACAGCACCGGGAAGCAGCTCTGACACTGTTTATTGATTCAATATTATTGAACTGTCCAGGCGTTGAGCTGTCAGTCTCTTTGTGCTTGATTGACTTAGCGGCTGGCTGATTGCAGGAGGAGGAAGACTCTCTCCCTGCTTTCTGTGCCTCCCATCCATGTGTGTGCGCATCTGTGTGTGCATCCAGGTATGGAACCATTAACAGGCCGTACTTGTGCATCCCTGCTGTTCTTTTTTTTTTTGTTGTTGTCTGCGCCTCTGTCGCTTTGTTCCAACTCTTTGTGCGACCTCACAATCTTCTGTGTCTGTGTCTCCCTTTTTTCCTGCTTTTTTTTGCCTGTGAATGTACCCATTTCCACCTGTGCTTGTACTTTTCCCCCGGGTGAATTCACAAGTGCGTCCCAGCGTAAGTGCATTTGCGGCGGGGAGGTTGATGGAGAAGTGAGGGAGCAAAAGCAGCAGAGACGGGAGAAGAACAGAGCAGGGAGGGGACGGGGGGTGGGGGGCGGGAGCTGGCAGGTTGATTACGGTCGCAGGTCTCGTTGCCTGGAGACGGTGGGGACGAGGGATGCCAGGTTGCTAGGCGACCGGCGCGATGCAATGACCAGCTCTGTGTGATGGAGCGGAGGGGAGGCAAAGACGGAAAATTGTCTTTGTGCCCCCCTCCGCACCATACAACAGCCCCCCCACACCCACACTCCACCCCCAACTCTGCCTCTCCGCTGTAAACGTTCTTGAAAGAGCAGGAGAGATGGTCTTTGCTGATAAATTTACCATTCAGAGAGGCAGCTTTTCTGGGCAGAACGGATTGAAATTGCAGAGAAAACAGACGACAGAAATGTGTCACTCTCGCACAGCGGCAGCCTGCTACACCGACTTAACAACACCGGCTGCGTTGAGCTGAGAGCGTCGAGAGATTATCATCTGCTCAGTGCTCATAATAGAGAAATCATCAATATAACTACTGGCCCCGACTGTAAACGAGCCTCTATCCAAAACACATTTACGTTGTCGTGGCAGATGGAAATGCATTTACTCTCCTCGGTGCTTTTGGTCGCTGACGCTGTGTGTGTGTATGTGTGTGTGTGTGGGGGGGGGGTTCATGCATGATTTGATTGAATGACCTATGGATTTAATATCTCATAATCCCAGAAAAAATCCCCCGCGGCATCGCAGAGCAAACAGATTAAGTATGTGTCGATGTTGCTGTGAGCGACAGGAGCGGACAGAGTATGTGTGTGTGTGTGTGTGTGTGTGTGTGGGGACAATAAATGTGTGTCGAAGGATGATTGTATGTAATATCTGTGTGTTTGCAGATGGGGCACTTGGGAGAGAAACAAATCAGAAAAGGGCTGTAAAAAAAGGTTGTGCCTTGTGCTGTCGGTGCACAGTGTGGGACTGTTTTTGTAAACAAGCCTACGAGAGAAAAGGGAGGGGAGCAACAGGAGGAGAGAGAGAGAGAGAGAGAGAGAGAGAGTCAATTACTGTAAAGTGTGCGTTCAGGCTTCAGGCTTAGAGGGAGATATTTTTCTCCCGGCTTCTGCATCTGCTCTCGAGGCAGCGTCAACATGCAACAGGCACCAGCGGCTCCCTCCACCATCCTTCTCTTTCTGTGTGCGACGTCTTTCATTTTGCGTCGCACCCCTCCTCCCCCACACGTCTAATCCCTCCATCACCCGACCTAGAAGCACCCTTTGTCCTCCCCATTTGTTTTGTAGCGCCCGTCTCTTCCGCTCGCCGTGCAGGGCAAACCTTGTTTACCAGATGTGGAGTTCTCATCACCGGGGTTGTCATGGCGATGGCCATGCGAGGGCCGTCTCCGTCAGAGCAGCGGGGCCTGTTGCCGTGCCGATGTGAAGTGGCACAGCCTCGATGGCCTCCACTTCGCACTGTTTTCCCTCTTGTGTATTCTGGTTCCCGTCTCCCGAGCCATCTGCTGCGCGTCTCTCCGTCCCCGCCGCCGCGCCCTTCGCCGTTTGCTCGTGCGGGCTAATATGGGCCACGGCGTTTTTTCATGATATTAATATTATATATTGATATTAATATTCACTCAACTCGGGGATTAGACAAGATACTGCACCGAGGCTTATCTTTATCTTTTGCATTAAAAAGTAATCCATCCAGTCTCATTCTCAGGACGGTTTTATTGTGTAATTTGTGTTTGTATATCGAGTTTACAGCATTTGGGACGGGAGCAACCACAAGGGACACTAAGGCTCATTTGTGTAACGGGTGTTTTTGACGGTTGTCCAAGCGAGAGTGAGCAAACCGGCCCAGTGTGGCCAATTCTTTTCCAATTATAGTGGCTGGAAGACACTGGTGACGGACGATGAGTGAAAGGGCCGCGCGCACGTCAGGGAGGCACGTGGATGAATGGATTGATTTTTTTTTTTTTGTCAGAGCATTTGATTTACTGATAGCTGTCGGGATGTAATAGAACAAAAATAGGTTTCTA